TGTTGCTCTCCATCCCTACTCTTGCTGTCCTTCTATTTCCACAAGCTCTAAAAGGAAGCTATTCAGAATTCTCATGATAATCAGTCCAACTCATAAAAGATTTTCACTCACCTATCAAAATATGCCACAACAAGACTCCAGTCCAAATCAAAATAATTAGTAGTCACCACAAGAAGGTTTTACCAATCGAAGATTGGGAAATAAAAAATAGAGACCTGCTTGGCGAGTAGTTGAAATCTGGTCTCAGCCACAGTCTTGTCATCAGAAAACTCTTCCTTAAGTACTACAATTACTTAAGCTGTGCTGAGATATACGCAGCAGTTGCTAGAGTTCGGAAAATGGGAATCTTAGCACTCCAATTCTCTTAGTAAGATCTCCCTAATATTGTCACAAAGGTGGCTTAACGAGGAAAGGGTTTTCACGTGATACATGGTTATGAGTCACAGGTATGTTATTGTTTCATGCATATGACCTATTCGGGTTATATGATTTGTTATGTGTGGGATTTGTGATGCTTTCGCACATGGCTTAAGTATGAGTCATGGGACATGCGCCTGACGAGTATGCCTTACGAGTGTGCCTTACGGGTAAGCCTTGCGCATATGATTTATGTTTCGCACATGACCTCATTATGATGTCATGGGTTTCGTGCATATGACTCAGTCGAGTCATATGACTTGTTTATTGCGTTATGATTGGTTTATGAGTTTTGCACATGACCTCTCTATGAGGTCATGGGTTTTGAGCATGTGATCACTTTGGTCATATGACTAGTTTGTTATGATTTAGTTTCGCACATGTGACCACTTTAGCTCACATGACTAAAGGCGGGAAGAACACTATATAAGGAGGCCGATACAGCAGAAGAAGATAGGTTCTTCACGCTTTGTTCTAAGTACTTTTCCTACTTATTACTTTAACGAATATAAAACACCTTTACGATCTTTATCTTTATTGCAACGTTATTATTACGCCAAAGAAGGCGCTTTACGAAGAAGAGTTAGAGAAAGCTTACGATAGGCGTTCCCGGTAGCAGACAAGAGTCTTGTACTATCGGCAATGTAGGCAGAGGCCTAGAGCTATCGTAAGACAAAGGAAGAAGAAGACAGGAAGAGAAGTATCATTCCCTGTCGCCAAGCACTAACTATCCAGAGAGGGATCGTTACAAATATCGTAGATACAAGTACCGTAAGTGATGTTTTCATACAAGATATAGCCTGTAGGGATGTTTAAGACATAATATTCATTGCGTAGGAAAACATAAATACATAGCTGTGGTATCCCATGGTGTCATGAGTCCCCGGCATAGTGAAAATGCACATAAAAATACTCTCTGGCCTATAATGATAGTATGGGCATTCTTGCCAGACTGGGGACTCACTTCACAGTAGGTTACTGTAAAGGAATATAGACATAGGGGTGGTAATATAAGGAGAGTGAGAGAGGCCATGAAAAAGATCCAAAAAAAAATGAAGTACAGTCACACCTCGCTGTGCTGGATGGTCAAAATCCTCCAAAGATTTTAGAATTTGTTTAGGATAGCAGATTATCTGGAATAATAGGTACAGTTTCGGTGTAAATCTATTCAGAAATCTGAGAATATTATCCAGAATAACGGAGAATCCAGTAGAGTGAGGTCTGGGACAACGGGGCGTGACTGTATTACAAGCAATGCATAAAAGAAAGGTAAAAAGAAGAAATAAAAAAAAGACAAAATCTGTTAGAAATACTGGGATCCGATACATATGAGTCACCCTAAGTAGGGTAATCTCACCCAGAATTGGAATCTCTTGTCTCCAACACCCCCCTCTAGCCCTCTTACAGGGCTCGCATGTCATCATACATATCAATCTCAGTTGCATCCTGTGACTATAGTATCACAGAATTGAAGGTGTTAGAATAATACCATATATGTCGCCGCCGTCTGTCCAACCGGATCTTGTTCGCAGGATATATGGGAGGAGACCTTCAGCTAGGTCTGAGAAGTGAAATAGAGTAACTCCGTCAACTACTCAGAAGGTTACTGGTCTTCAAAGATGTAATATCTTTGGTATTGATCTTAGGTAACAGGATATTTTTGTACAAAAAGATAGTATCGAATGGTAAAGAATCTCAGCGAGAGACCAATACCTTCACATCCACCCTACAATATCCAGAAGAGTCTAGAACTTCGAGGGACACTACCATAAAAGCTATTGGACTTCATAGAGTATTGCAACTAGGTTTCAGAATACGTTGTAGTTATGAGAATAATATCCAATACTATAACAGTGATTGAAACGCTATTACTCAGAGCAACAAAAAGTTGTCAACTGTAGGAATATTTGTCTATCCTATGGAATAGCTTTCTGCGAATTAGTAGGAAGTCGTCCGGAAGACATCTGTTGGTTGGGTAAGGAGTTATAGAGGTTTAAAGTTAGACGACCTGAAAAATGGTTGTAATTACAACTACCTTCACAGATGCAACCCGCAGATGAAACTGATCATTTCATCAATGATGGACACAATTGGAGCCAACTCAGTTCGACTTGAGTACTAGACGACCAGTCTAAAGACTCTAATTATTGGATAATTACTATTGAAAACAGCATTGTTCCCAATTAGTTATATTGTAATTGTCAAAGAGGGTGTGGTGATTTTTAGGGTCTCCAAGTGTTCACACCTTTCAAGAATACCTGACATTGCAAGTTATAATCAGAAAGGTACATAGTTGTATAATAAATAGATGTAGTCCACAAATACTCAGATGCAGAATATAAATATCAAAGTGCCTTCTAAGCTTTAGACATCATTAAGTAACACAGAAGAGATCTTAACAATATAATATTGTTTTACAATTTTATTTTACTTTATCAAATTTACTTTGCTCTTAGTAGTCATAAATGAAACTAGTAAACTTGAGCCTTCCTAAATAATCTCTGTCTACAAAAACAAATCTTGATTGGCCCAGACAATTCTGAAGTCTATCAGAGTGTCTTCACCTAACAAAATCCTCTATAATAACCGGAATAGCCACTTTGAGCATGACGAACCTATGTTGAAGCTTGTAGTTAGTATAAAGAGAAAAAGTAGAAATGAAGCAGAGTTTTAACCTCATAAAGGCGAGTAGGAAGTGAGTCTACTAGTACTTCCAACTCATCTGGAGTAATAGCTGCGCATTCTTCCTCAATAGCAGAGTGTAGGGCTTCATATGTAGTAGGAAAGAGGTTGCAGCAGCAAATGCGTTGCTTTAGGGTTCGCCAAAGGTTTTCAATCAGACTACAATCAGGAAAGAAGGGGGACCAATTGATGAAATACCCCCAGATACTGAGCATGTGAAATTGATTTTGGGTGTGTGCTGCTTGATAAGGGCTTGCCCTATCCTGCTGAAGGTAGACATAGTCTAGCTAGAGCTGTGATTGCTCCTGCCAAAATTGGTGAAAGTGCGGTATGTGAAGTAAAAGAAGTAGCCTTAATAGTCTTGCCCCACTACTCCTTATCCCAAAAAATTAGTGGCCCTTTTTGCTGCCCTTTAAAACAAGCTCAAACTATGATAGTTTCCACTTTTTGAATTTTAGTACTAAATAATCCTCCAGATCCTCTTCACCAGCCTACCGAGTAACCCATACTTGACCACTAGAAGAGAGCCTACCAACATTAAACACTGACTTGTTACTCCAAATTACCTAATTAATCTTATATTAATATTGCTACTACTTAACTACTAATAAAATAGAAGAAGTAGAAACCTTATGTCAATCAGTACGAGTCCAGTTAGCATAATGCTCAGCCCAATCAAGCCTCTTTTCCTTGGCTTTAATGGTGAGAAAGGGGCATGCCCAAGCTACTCGCCTTTGATAACCTTCAGTTGCAAATGTGGTATGAAGAACCTCAGCGCTAGCATTTACTCCAGCTAGCTCAGCAACTTCTCAGATAGGTAGATGCCGATTTTTCTGACTCGCAGTTGCAAAGTCAATCAATCTCTTACAGATAAGAGTGGTTAGGATCTTCAGTCTGCCATGTTTTACTCTGTGAGAGGTGGCTTGTACCTGGCAGATTGAATATGCTGTGCTGACTGTGATGCCAATTTCCTCTGCAATGCGTCGGAATGTCCAGGCAGCATGGTTAGACAAACTATGTACTTTTGAGCGCAACGAGCTACTGATCAACGTTCTATCTAGAGTTATCTTTCTGGAGGCTGGCTGGAAAATGGGAGCAGGTAAAAGATTCCTTGAACTAATTGGACTAATAGAGGAGGGAGAATTTGCTGCCCAAAAGTAATCATGATGTGAGCAGGTTGGAGCCATATTCGAGTCTGTGTCTGTCTTTTTTAAAAAAAAAAAAATATATCTCTTATTTCTTACAACAAATTCAGTACCTTTATCTCTTTTCCCTTGGAGGAGCTCTGGTATTATTTCTTTAAAAAAGAGGGGGTTTTACTAATGAGATGTTCTGTTGGTGTTTCTTGGATCACAATACACTCTGTCTTGGTGTTTGGTATTTCGCATTCTTTACCCATGACCCTACCAATTACTTGGCAACCCTTGTACGAAAACATCACCCATGGCACTTGTACAAGTACCGTATTCGCGCCAGGACTTTCAGTTGCCTTTACTGGTAAGGTCCGACACTTTTCTTAGGTTTTTCGCAAGTGTTTTCGTCTCCATATCCAAGAGAAGGAATTTCGGACGTCTTAGCCCGAGTGCCAATCACTCCAGTATTTGGGTCTGTGGGTAGCACGAGTATCACAAAAAACGCGCCCGTGGATCACAGAGCAATCCTGCCGGTATGACACCAGATCGTCTCAGCTTTCTATGCAACCTGCAACCGGGTAACACCCCCTTCCCAATGGTGGGTCATCTGTGGCGCTAATCGTCTCATTTCGTGTGGTGCAATCCACCGTGCCAACAATCTCCAAGCCACAAGGATCTCAATCAAACCAAGCTTCTTCCAACATCGCAAGTACCGTACTCCAAACTCCACTGAGCCCTGGATACCTCACACCCCTCACACCCCTCACAATCACCAAACGACTTTCATCGGATAGTAAAAAAACACCACCAAACGCGAATCTCTACACATCTAATCGGCCCTCTACTAGAGCTCGTCTGAGATCTGGAAATGGGCGCCCTGCTCTCAATCCCGTTTCTGGCGGTTCCCAGCCTAACCACGGTATTCCGCTCCCCCCCCCGCTTCGCCTACCCAACTTCATACTGACACGATCACTAGATTGGCTCTTTCGCTGCATCGTGTTGTGGTGCTGCAGCTTGTTCCGCACTGTGTAGTGCTTGTGGCAAATGTGGCAGTAGGTATGAGGATTTTTGATGCTCATTAGATTGCGATAGGGGGTCATAGCTAACTTCACCGCAGTACTGCCACGAGAATCGCTTATGCTTGTGTGCACCCTAACTCGAACATTTTTATTCGGGGTCCTAATACTAACGTTTGATAGTGCTCTTCTTGTTAAACAGTATTATCTCATGGATTATGCTCTCGCCCTGGGCTATCAAGAAGCTTGAGCATTTGACCCTCGACTATTTCCCTATCACTTGTTTGGGGGAGCAATGTTACGGTTTCGTCGCGGTACATCGTATACAGTTTGCTCTTGGTGTTTTCCACGCTGTTCTCGCCGCTATTCTTGTAGGGGTCAAGAGCTCGAAAGGCGGTCGCGCAGCTATTCAGAATGGGTTAGTGTTGCTAATACTAACAACATAGGAAAGAAGGCTCTAACGGTTATCCTTTAATAGGTATTGGGGGCCCAAGATTATTGCCTGGCTTTTACTTATCGTTCTTACGTTCCTTGTCCCTGAGGGCTTCTTCCTTGTCTGGGGAAATTACGTTGCGACCTTCGGCGCTGTCTTGTTCCTTCTTCTTGGCCTCGTCCTTCTTGTTGATCTTGCGCATACCTGGGCTGAAGTTTGCCTGGAAAAGATTGACAAATCAGACTCTAGAATATGGCGTGGTATCCTTCTTGGCAGCACGTTAGGGATGTACATTGGGAGCTTGGTACTCACCATTGTGATGTATGTCTTCTTCGCTGGTAGTGGATGTTCTATGAACCAAGGTGTGCTCTCTTATCTGTCCGTTGGCAACAATCACTAACTACAGCACTAACAGCGGCCATCACTATCAATCTCATCTTGCTCATTCTGGTCTCTGCGATTTCTGTCCATCCCAAGGTTCAGGAATACAACTCACAAGCCGGCCTTGCTCAGTCTGCCATGGTTGCAATCTACTGCACGTATCTCACTATGTCTGCTGTTTCTATGGAGCCTGATGACAAGCAATGCAACCCTCTTCTGCGAGCTCGTGGGACACGTACCGCTTCTATCGTTCTTGGTGCTATCGTGACTCTCCTCACCATCGCGTATACCACCACCCGTGCTGCCTCCCAGGGAGTTGGACCACTTCACAGAGGAAGCAGCTCCCCGAATAACGGTGGCTATTCTAGTTTGGGAGATGGGGAGCATGGCCTTGTCTCGACGGAACCTAGCAGGTCCGAACTTAGAGCCCGTGCTCTGCGCAGGGCTGTTGAGGACGGAAGCTTACCTGCTAGTGCCCTCGATGATGATGGTGATTCGGATGACGAAGATGATGCTAGGGCCAATGACGACGAGAAGAATGGAGCTCAGTATAGTTATTCGGGGTTTCATATCATCTTCTTCCTGGCAACTGCATGGACGGCAACACTTTTGACAATGAGCTTGGAGCCCGGAAAGAATGACGAGGAGGGTTTCACTCCTGTTGGCAGAACGTACGCTGCCAGTTGGATTAAGATTGTTTCTGCTTGGGTGTGTTATGCGCTCTACTCCTGGACTTTGGTCGCGCCAGTTGTGTAAGTTTTACCATTCCACCAATCGACTATTAGAACTTTAACTAACCTAATCTCGTAATAGCCTCCCGGAGAGATTCTGAATTCGCTTTTTTACTATGCCCAAATTACTCTGTTGGTGATATGCTGGGGCAGGGCACAGGTTGTTCACGTCGTGTGTAGAACGCATCAGGGGTGAGGGATTCGATGTTTCCTTTCCCGATTAAACTCAACTTGATTCGTTTTCTGAACGGCGTTTTTGTATTTTGTTACGTAATTGAGGTTATATACCTTATGTATCAACAATTTCAAGTAGGGTATCCGTTTTGGAGGATAATCCGTCATGAACTGAATTTTCCCGCTCGTATTCCATTTGGAGATCACTGCTATCACATGCCATCACTCGATTGTTATTCGCCAAGACACTAGCTTTCAAACATAGATCACCACCGGCGGCAAGTACGACATCTCCCTCGTTTCTCCGAGGAGATTTCGCAAAAGTAAGGTGAAAAATTATTTTATCTTGAGTGATCGTTTATGAAATGTCGGGCGGTGTCAATCCCAAACCATAGGAAAATAGGTATTACGTGGAAAAAAAGGCTGGCAGTAACTTAAAAGAAAAACAGGGAACAAGAAATACGCCATAACCCGAGGTCCCTGCTTTTTCTTGAGACCGAATCAAAACCAATGAAAGCTTCCGTCGAAAGCTTCTTCAAACACTTCACGTCCTTCGGAAGGGGGTGGTATGCCTCGTAGTTCTTTGTAGGTTATTACTTTATTCTCGGCGTAGTGCGAGAGGAGGTTATCCATGTCGTCTTCGTCCATGTCACAGAGTTCTTCGAGGCTCCAGGTTTCGCAGACTTTTGTCATCCTATTTATCATCCGCCCTCAGTATTAATAACGAACAGTTGTAAGAGTTTGGCGGGGGACAGACCACTCCATCCTCTTCGGTCCTTCAGAGCACGCCGACGCAACTTTCCTCAACCTCTTCCTCAAGGAGCCAACTTTAACGATCGCTTCTCCAAGATTCGTCGGCAGCGTCTCAGCAATCTGCTTCCGCACGATGTTCGCCAGTTTTGGCCCATTCCCGTTCGTCGAGACCATGACCTGCAACGGCCCATCCCTGTGGACACTGCCAAAGTAGAAGTCGCACTCTGGTGGCACATCCGCAACATTCACCGGGATGCGCTTCTGCTTGCAGAGGGTGTAGATTTGTGTTGATGCTTGGGGGTCGTCGATTGCTGTTAGGACCATTGCGATGTCTGGGCCTTCCAGGTCTGAGGGCTGGAAGCTGCGGTCTATATGCGTTACTTGGCGTTTCAGGATTCGGTGATGGACTTCTGGGTGTAGGCCGGTGCTTGGGGTTATCACAGTTACTTTTGCGTCGGCGTTGAGGAGGTTGAGGATTCGGCCAGCGGCGACCTACAATTTGTTTGTTAGGCATTGGAATTGATGGTGGAGGGGGGAAGTGGGGCTATATCATACATTTCCACCACCTACTACAAGGGCTTTTCTATTCCGGACTTGCCAGGCAAGTAAGAGGGAGCCACCGCCTTGAACGGGTGGGAACTCATCGTCAGAAATTGCCATTGTAGGGGATGTATATGGCGTAGGAAGGTAGATAGATCGAAGTAAACGGTAATAGACACGGGCAGCAGAGGAAAAAGAGGAGGCGAAGCTCGTCTAAAGAAAACCAGAGGGAGAAGTGAAAGAAGGAAACCAAAAACGTGATCAAGATTAGAGCAGCCATTGCCAAGCCTTTAGGGAGCCGCCTCCCCACAGCTCCCGATTCCCTCCCTTCCTTGAAGCTTGTGAGAGACACGGGCTCCATCTAAGGACCTACCACAAGCTCACACGAACGTACCACCACTGCACCCGTCAACTGATCTTAACTTGCCAAAAGAGAAAGTTCCCTGTGCTACACATCGGACAGTATACCCTCCTTTACTCTGAAGATATCGAACCCCGTCAGCCTTACCTGCGGCGGGCGGACCATTGCTTAAGGCTCTATACCTGGAGAGAAGAACCCTTGGACGTCATGAATACTGCTAAGACACGTCCGGTGAGAGGAAGGGTTCTTGGAAGTGCTGCATCTGCCAGAAGGAGTCTATCTCCTGCTATTTCGTCCGTTGCCGGGAGTGGGAGACTATCGCCGTCCGCTAGTTCCGTTTCCTTGAATTCAGATTTTTCGTTACGAGACGGGGAGAATGAGGGGGGTAGTATGGTGTGCCCGATTTGCTCGGAGGAGATGGTGTGTTTCCCATAATAAGTCGACACACATTCACATTTGTGATCACGTTACTGACTGGTAGCGTAGGTGACTTTGCTACAATTAAACCGGTACTGAAACCCCCTGTGACGGCGTTCATGAGAGGGGAAAGGGTGAGCTAATGGTGCAACAGGCATCTTGATGATATCCACAAAGAAGTCGAGGAGGTCGAGAAGGACGATATATCAACATGGTTCCGAAAGCGCATGTTAAAGGCCAAGGCCTTCCAGCCGGTGGCAGTCCTAAACCAAAAGCTCAAAGGGCTAGATGTCTTTGAATCAAATGAGGCTCTTGCCATCGCCGGCCCGTCTTCCAACCCTGTTATCGCGAGCGCAACTGTGATAGAAGAGCGAGACCCAGATTACCTAGTCACAAGAGCACACTGGCAACGGAGCACTACAGACGACTATTGCCTCGACCCCGTCTGCCAAAAGCCTCTCGGCGCGGTTAACGGAAGTGTCAATTGTCGGAAGTGCGGCAAGCTGTTTTGCGAGGAGCATACAATGTATCAGATGAAGCTTTCAAGATCGGCGCAGCATGAGCCCGTAAGGGGATTTTGGTGCAGGGTTTGCGAAACTTGCTACAAGTCAAGAGAAGGGTACAATGACCATCAGGGTACTATGAGTCGAGTCATGCTAGGGAAATCTCGGGTTTGCTGACTTGTTTAGGGTTTGTACGGGATCATACGAAGGAGTTTTCCGAACGGAGGAGAAGAACTGTTGATCGGGCATATCTGGAAGTGACTAGGCTTGAAAAGAGGCTTACGAAGGTATTTTCAACCACCCCCGCCGCCCCACCATTGGTTCTGATGATGGTCACAGCTTACTCAACTTCTGATCAATCCTCCCGAACCTCCGCCCGGGACCAGCGGGTTTATCAAAGCTGTTGCAAGTTTAAGAAACCAACGGAAGGTAATTGAGCAGTCAGTGGTGGCCTGGGAAGACGACGCCAGCGTTACCGCTTGCCCGCACTGCCACCAGACATTTTCGCAATTTACAATACGAAAACACCACTGCCGCTTATGTGGGAAAGTTGTATGCGGAGACTCGCGAACAGATTGTTCCAGTGATGTTGGTCTGAATGTTTCTGCAAGTACGTTTGTTACCGGATATTTAGAGGAGTTCTGGTTAACTTCGTGATTAGTGACTGGTGTACTCTCCGAGAAGACCCTCAACGAGATGAGCATTGACGTGCGGATATGTAGAGCATGCCGAACCACCGTCTTTAGTAAACGGGACTTTGTTCTAGACCTGGCTAAAATTCCCCAAGATGTTCGAGCCTATCAAACCCTCGTTCAATTTGAGCAAGGAATTAAGAACATGATGCCCCGATTCCAAAAACTATTAACAGAAATACAGTAATTCACACCCCCTCATGCCAATCCTCACTCCAGGCACGCCCCGCTAACCACAACTCCAGAGACCCAAACAAAACTCCCACCCAGGCAAAACTCGCCGAAGCTACAAAAACACGCAAAAAGCTCTTAGACACCTTTGCCCAATACGACGCAGCCGCAAAGCGTATCTTGAACCTCCCCACAGCCTCCCAAACCCAGCGGCGCCTTCAAAAAACCGTTTACCAAGCCGCCACACAGTTCCTCCACCTAAATATGCTCCCGCTAAAAGCCTTGCCGAAGCTCTTAAACATGAATAGACCCGCCAGTGCACGAATACAGACCATTAGCAGTACGAACGGGAACAATAAGCCTTCTTCCAGTCGGGCGCTGACGATGGTCACGACAGAGGAGGGAGAGGATGGGACAGAGGTGGACAGCAGTGCTGCGCTCAAGGAGAAGGAATTGAAGGAGGGCTTGATGGTGCTAGAGGAACAGAGGTTCATGGTGCAGGAGATGCTGACCGAGGCTAGCAAGCGGAGGAGGTTTGACGAAGTTTCTGCACTGGCGGCGAGTCTTGAGGAGTTAGATAGGGAAGTTGAGAAGATGAATGGGGAGATTGCGAAGCTAGAGTCGTAGCAAGGATTCGTCGGTGGTGTGATGATGCAAGATTTCATTTTTGAAAAAAGGAAATGTCTGTTGTAATGACTGGCTGGGCCAGTGTATCCCTCTTCTTTATCTTTCCTGTTTCAATTTTTTTCCTCCCCCTTTTCGCTACTTAAACTACTTTTTTTTTGATAGTTACTGATTATTTGTATATATACATGGTGGTCGATTCGGTATGGAGTTTTTAGAATTTTGGGTTTTCTTTCTTCATTTATCTACTGCACTTATTTTTGCTTCCTTCCTCCCTTGCATGTCTATTGCGTTATCATACTTGAAAGCGTTGTTTTAATGGCCGCACTTTTTGGGGCCGAAACTATGGCTGGATATAAACTTATATGATACGATAGCTTCTATAAAAATATCGTGATGAGCCTCGCTTCCGCCTTTTGAACCAGTTCTCCTAGTGCAATCACCATTATTACAAGTATTAGTATTATTATGGTGGTATTATCACAAGGATCACCCGGCACCCTTTGGGGTAAGTTCACATAGTATTATCTCGAGCTATCCCTTGGGCGGTCTGAAACAGTAAAATTCGTAGCCAGGCATACAAGTACCAGACTGAAAAAAATCCCAAATAAGAGACTTGGCACTTATACTATACCGTACAATCTGGCAATCAGTTATAGTCGACTACCGTCGCCCCGTCCAGTCCGTCCAAAGACGAGACATTCTCGTCCTTTGTCGTCCTAACCCCGTCTTGGACGGACTGGACGACTGGGAGGGCTGCTAGGGTCATGACTCTTTGAAGCAAAGAAACAAAAAAAAACATAACACCCCTTCACCGCGATTCAAACCAGGTACAAGTACTGCTATCATAGTGTGAAACACCCGGGATTGCTATAACGGATGAATAGTGGCGTTTGCACAAGGTAAATTACTTCAAGCATTAACCTATGTGACCCACCAATAAACACTCACGTTTAGGCAATCTCGAAGTCCAGGAGCGTAACACACTACCGGTACTTCACATTCTAATACTGTATTCACTCTCCGATTAGGATAATGCCACACACGGATATGGTGCGTTGGATACAACCAATAGCCACAGGAGAGACCAAACCCAGGGAAAGCCAAACATGGGCGTACTGTAGACGGAAACAAGAAAAAAAACAGATATATACCAAATCCCACTACCCCCTCGCCTTCTCTTCCTCAATCTCCCTTAACAGCCCAGCCAAGGTGTCTTCCCTAGATTTCAAATGCTGCTCTAAAGCATTGACCTGCTCTCGAACCGTCTCCAAGTCCTCTTTTACGCCTTTTAGGTTCGCCCCGCTCTTTGCAAGCCCCCCGCCGTCTTCCAATTCACGGAGTGTCCTCCGCTTGTAGTCTAACATTTGCTCAAGCTCACGCTTGACTAACGCAGCTTTTGACCCACTGCTGCCGAATTTGTCTCTGTTCCGTCGCTTCTCGGCCGTGGCTTCAGTTTCGGCGATCTTGGTTTCGAGTTCTGCGAGTTCCCGCTTGAGGCGGACTTCTTCCCAGCCCTGATCCTTAGATGCGCTGAAATCAGTACCTATTGCTCCGAAACCACAATTAGTACAACTACAGCTTCATAAACCCCGGCGGGTTGTGCTACCGGAATGCTTGTAGTTTCCTCTTCCACCGACTCCCAACCGAGTAAGATAGCTTTCTCCAAAGGCTTCCTTCTTTCCCGTAATTGTACTCATGTCCCTCCCCTTTCCAAGCTTATTCTTGTAGACGAGATCCTCGTTCTTGTCAAGGTCATAGCTGATTTGGTTCTTTTGGAAGGTTGCACGGAGAGATGCAGGAACGGAGCGGGGGATACGGTAACCCTCATGACGATTGTTCAGTATATGAAGAAACACTAGTGCCTGATCCTTTCCAATCGCTGCCGAGGCGGAAGGGTTGACTAAGTTCCTAAAGCGAGTGAGCAGGCAATCAGAACATGTGGCCTCTTAAAAAAAGGGAATTTGAAGACACGCAGCCATACCAGGCAGACCGGATATCCGTGTCTGGAACGTTGATCCCCTCATACAACTCGTCAAGAGCATTAACTAGATACCACACCCATCAGTGAAGCCAGATACCCAAGATAGTTGCCGGACACACACATCTCAATTGCCCATGCTCCCCAGCATTAGCGGAATACATCCCCTCATACCTTGCCTTATCCACAGGAGACATATACCAATCGAACCCATCCTTGAGCCCCGGCGTATCGTCCTCATCATCATCGATCCGCTCAAACCGCGGGGGATCATCAGACAGCGCCTGAGAAGCTGTGACAAGATGTGCTTTCGATTCCGGGATCAGAAAACTAGGAAGCGTCTTCGGAACTTGTTTGTATTCCTACACCAACCACCCCCCCAACCGGTTAGCTCTTCTCCCATAGCTTCGTGCCGGGATAGAGATGGAAACCCACCCCATTAACAAGATCAAAAATTAACCTCATAGCAACGCAAAACTCCTCGAAGTCTAGGTCTCCATCCCTATCAACGTCGGCTAGATCCCAAATCTTTGCTAACTGAGCGTCGTTCAGTCCGGAGTTCTTGAGCATTGTGAATGCTTGGTCCCCCGTGATTCGCTGACCATCCTTTGAGTGGGCGCTAAAAATTTCCCAGTATTTTTCTACGTCCGCTTGTGATATGGGTTTGTTGGCCATTGCGTGAGTGGTGATGATGGTAGAGGCGGTTTGTCGAGAGAAATACTGGATGAGGCGATAAGGTACCTGGGTGCTGAGAGGTGTTGGTGGTAATTTGTGCGAGGCGCGGCGGCTCTTCAAAGGGGCATCTCGTTGCCGCAAAGTTGCGCTCAAATTTATTAAATTTATCCTGGTATTTCATGAGCTTCCCGATGAGATGGTCAACCTCTCGAGTACCGGTAGAGTACGAGTACAGTACTCGTACGTGCTGTGTGGGGTATGCACGAGTGCAATTGCCAAATGAATAACCTGCTCCGAAATTACGGCCAAATTTCGGAACCACAGCAAATAACTTGCTGTAGTAACAGACCATTAAGGGACTATGTTAATTCGAGAATTTCTACCATAACAGTTACTAAACTAGACACTACCCATTCTCCGGTGTGTTCAAGGCACCACTCTCTCTGAGTGGACTACGATAGGTTATACTTGGTTCTCTCGTGCGATAGTCAATCTAGGCTACTTAGTAAGATGGCGGTTGATCACCAATTCGTGGAGCTTAGAGACCGTCATAGCTAAATTCATATCTTTCCAGTGCATACATCTTACTAGAAGCCCTCGTATACCAATTGTTTCCAGGCATAAAAATATCAGGGGAATAAGAAAGAGGACTATACATTTATAACATTGAAAAGGTAGTAAAAGATATCGAACAAAGCAGACAGAACTAAAGAAGAATTAGCTTACACTGTATTTTTTTTCTTCTTTTTTCACAGAGCCCTAGAATCAAAAGAGAAATCTGAACACAGTAGTTAAAAAGGAGGCGTGAATAAGACAAATGTGATAAGTAAACTACATATGATACATCTCGCTCACCAGACGAGAAAGCAAACAGACGATAACCGGACGCCTCAAAGACCCTCCCCCCTCTGTTGAACCATCTAAAGCGCTAGTCTTCCTCCTAAGAACTCACCTAAGGGAGGAGGAAATGGTCAGGGTGCATAAGGTACCTCAAACAACCACCTCCAATAAAGAAAAGAAAATACCCCCTAAAGAATCAAGTGCCGAAGATATAAACGCCGCGCAGTCATGAATCAAAAGCAAACCCAGAAATTTATCATTCCAGATCCGAGAAAGGGAAAAATAAAGCAGGTGAAGGAAATGTAAGAATTCCAGGTAGAAATTGTGAAATGTGTGAAAATGTCAAGAAAAGCGGGGGAACGAAAAGGAACATGCTTTCATCAATCAGCCCCTGTACTTTCGTCGACCTTCCTCAGAAAGCTGCTAACCCGAGCCGTATCAACTTCTCCAGGGTCGCTTTCGACAGCCTGAACCAGTCCCTCTAATAAGGAATCAATCTTGTACTCTTCCAGTCCGGTACAGAGAGCAACAACTCTCCTGAATTTATCCTCCAGATCTGTGCTCTTGTCGTGGAGTTTACCTGCAACCTCGCGTAGATTTTCTCCGTTTGTAGTGTAGGCTCTGACCCGAGCTTTCAGTACCGCGGTTGATGGTAAGGACTTGAGATACTGCTTTTGGCGCTCTCCAATCTCTCTGGAATCACCAGACTGCGCTAATAGCTCCATTTTGATCTTGAAAGGTCGATCCGGATCCAAGCGCTCCCCCTTCAAACTGGGAACGTCACCATTGGTATTGCCCCCCTTCCCCTGAAGCCTAACATTCTCTTCCTCAATCGCTCGACGAAGATTCTGGCAATGTTGCTTGAGTTCAGAATGTTGTCGACTCCGTTGCCGTAGTTGGTTCATCTTCTCTTTCTCTTTCCCAAGCTTTAAGGTAACCTCCCGTAGCCTGTTGAGAGTACCAGTAACCTGTTCTTGCTTGGCTTCAATCTCCCCCTGAAAGTCTTTCTCTGTCCCGGCAATAAGGCCCTTGATAGCTAAATAAGTATATTAGTGCATGTCACAGAAAAACAATAAGAAAAGCGAGAGAGAGGCAAGAATACCTTTCATGATGTCCTGCCGTTTTTGTACAACTGCTGGGGGTAAAATCCAACCTTGCTCTCTTCGGCTTGGAACCGGTGCGGGCTCTCCACCAACTCCAAAATCTATCGGGCGCAACCCTGCACGATTCGGTATACTTGAATCGGCACCCACTTCCAACAATTGCTGAATTATGCTCTTATTGCCAATTCTCGCAGCAATGTTCAAGGCGGTGTCTCCACTTTTGTCCTGTGCATTGACAATTTCCCCAATAAATCTCGCAAGGCTCATAACCTTCGGACCACTGGTACGCTGGCTCGTAGCTGAAGCCCCATGCTTTGCAACAAACTCCAACAAACAATGCAGGTAATACCGACTATCAGCACTTCTTCCCTTCATTCCCGATTTGACAGCGATATGGTGTAGGATAGTTCGACCATTGTTATCAGCAATTGGGATGGTAGGATGAAGTAGATTGAGAAGTTGGGGAAAAGAAGACTGATCAAAGTTATTTGTTACAAAACATCCTCGAACCAATGCAGTCTCGCCGGCGTGATTCACACGGGAAATTGAAGCTCCCTTGGTGATCAAGGCACGAATCAAAGGGACACGAGCCAAAGATGCAGACCAATGTATAGCCGCGCTGCCTGTCGAATCCAGAGGAATATCAATCTGATCTGGAGTTAGAGAATCGAGGTGGGACAATACTGTATTATCGGTTTCAGGATTTATAAAAAGATTCATCAATATCTGCCGGGCGCGTTCAGAATCCGGAACCTGCTCAGCAGCCAACGGCTGCACTGGCTTGGACGGAGTATCAAGGTGTGTTGGAAAGAAAGGTGCTAGTGCCTCATGAGGTGGTGTAGAAGCACGTACCCGTTTTCGTGGGGGCTCCTGAGATTCGATTTGTGAGTCGACGGTAGTGAAAGACTGAGATGCATATGCTGAATCGGGTTGGGTTTGTGATTGAGAAAAGCTAGTTTCTGAGGGAAGATTGATTGTCCACGATTCTTGACTGAATGACTCTTGCGGACGGGTAGTAATCTGTGATGAGGGGGGTGCAGGCTGAGAGTATCCGCCTCTGGGTCCCGGCGAATCCATGCGAGCACTTGATTTACTGAGCGCATTAAAGGCATTTGTAACTGTAGCAGATATAGGCGGGAATAATGGCCCACTATTACCATTTGCCTGGTTCAGGCTGGAGTTATACATGCGTTTCCTCCGGGCAGCCATGGCTTGTTCCTTTGTAGGCGTTGAATCTGGACCACTAGCCGCTTGTACATCGAGATCTAGCAAAGGAGCGAGTAGATCTTCCACACCATATGCACGGCAAAACTCTCGGCCTCGTTCAAAATCAATCCTAAACCAATGTCAGCGAGTGAGAGAAGATGAAGGAAAGAGTAAGAGTATCCCAACCATGTTCCTTGATACTTGCCATAACCGCCCTGAACCTTCTCATGGGGCCCCGTAAGGATCTCTTTTTCAAGAACTTTTGTCCGTTTCCCCTTCTCAACCCCGGCAACCTTAAGAATCTGTGTCGCGTTCAGCCATGAGTCATGGCGTCTTCGCATCACCGCAACGTTGTTGACGGGCATCTCAAACACCGACACACCAGAATAGGTGGCCTATGAAATTTAGGATAGTTAGCAAAAAAAAAAAAAAATGGAGAGTCAATTATCAGAGAAGACCTACAGTGAAGATTGTTGGTTTCGAATCTGCGGAATCCATAGGGGCCATCAGCGGGGGTGGGGTTCCTTGAGGGGTTGAGGCAACGGATGTTGACCCGTTAGTGGCCGCAAAGGATCCAACGGCCGAAGGCTGCTGGTAAATAGAAGTAGTTGTTAGAGATGATGAACCACCCGCAGCGAAAGGTGGAATCCGAGAGGATGAAGAGGTCATCCGCACAGTATGAGAAAAGGGGGCAGAAGTGATAAATGAAGAGGGACAGTAAAGCAGAAATCCCTATCCGCACGAGCGGGGAGAGGAGGAGATGCAGAAGCGGGCTAGCAGAAGGGGAGGAAGGGGAAGAGGGCAGGGGGGTTGAAAGTACTTTCGGTCAAATTCCCTCGGGGGGACAGGCCACACAACAATAGGAATGCGGAGCGCGTAGAGTGCTTGCGGAGTGGAGGCGACGACAACGAACGAGGATGAGGACTTGAGGGTGACCGCGACGTGACGGATAACACCGACAAGAAGTGATGAGAGTGACTGCCAATCGTGTATTCCCCGAGCGTGATAAATTCAGCCGGTAAGGTCAGAGTCAATGCAAAAGTCTTCCTCCACAGAAATAGGATCTGAGTCTGAGAAGTCGCGATCTGCTGCGGAGAAGGAGCGCGCGTCTTGCTGGCGTTCCGAGACATGTGCGCGTGGTTCTCCAAATATGGTCAGGTGGCTACCCTCTATGGATATATGAACCGAATATATCCATATTAGGCAAGTTCAGCCACGAGATATTTCAGCCTAATTCGAAATCCCTTCCCTCAGGTCACCTTCCGACAGGACCATTACCCTAGGTTTTAATTTTGTATTAAATTTTAATTCAATACCAGTATCATACCGGTACTCGTACTTGCAAATGATTTGAGGGCAAGGTATGACACAAGGTATGACACAACGTCACAACCCTCGAAAATGTCGCGCTCAACAAAGCGCAATACCGGTATGGCACCGGTACCGTAGATGGTTTGCGCAAGTCTGACCTGCGCGACTGTAAGTGCAGGTTATCAATGGTGTTTCTAGGGTTGCCACTCACATCAAGAGTCATCAAGCCCCGATCAAACCCCCAGTTAAATGTCGAGCTCTTAAACTCGGCCCTTTTACAAGGTCATGCAGTGGCTAATCCTCAAGCATCTTGAAAACGCTCTTGTTCGGATTAGGTTTAAGAAGGACGGCCGCAAAATCATACACAGGTGAATGCATAAAAGTATGGCGGAAGTTGGTATTTAAGTTCGCGTACGGGGTTTTCGGCCGACCCTAGCTTTCAGCCACCGCAACACAACGGCTCCAACACCAAACACCCAGTCGTTGAGGCTCCATAAAACAACCACAGTATGAATATTCGTGAGGAATCGATTGCCTTGGCCCTAGCTGCCATTGATAATGGCACTTCCGAGAGGAAAGCAGCAATGGAGTATGGTGTTCTCCGTACTACGTTACAAAGTCATCAGGCTGGTGGGTTGACCGCAAACTCCAGCCATCACCATCAACAACGCCCCTCTCCTGACCAGAAACAGTACCTGTGTGATTGAATTAGAGAACAGGAAGCATGTGGTTATGCTCCATCCAGTGCTTCCAGTCGTCCAGTCCGTCCTAGACGGGGTCAGGACGACGGAGGACGAGAATGTCTCGTCTTTGGACGGACTGGACGGCGAAAGCAGTCGGACGGCACTAGTCCTGTGTTTCCTTTTATGGATACCATATTACCCCATTAAAAATTTATTTGTTTGTTTTACAGTACGAAAGGGGTGGGAAAAAGTATGGCGAAGTCTTGGCTGCCAAGTATAGTACAGCGATATTCCGTTCGCCACATTCGCTAGACTTTTCTCGACCCCCTTCGTACAGTACAAGTACTTGTACCTTATTTTTGTTTTAATTTATCGTAGCACTAGTTTGTCTCTGGTGGCATTGGGTGCATTGACCAATTTTAGTCGACTGCCGTCGACGGCCGTCGGACTAGACTGGGAGCACTGCCTATGATATGGGCTGGGTTACCGGTATTTCATGACACCCGGGGCTTGTAGTATTAGAGCGTACCTTAGATGTTTATTTGCTGCACGGTAGTCTAGCCAATACGATAGATAGGTAGAGACTGTACAGTAATGCTAGAGTGCCATATATGTTACATAAACGAACCCTCTACGAGTATTCTCTGCTAGTATCATACTGTGCGGTATGATAGTTCAGTACAAGTCCCTAGGATGTGCGGAGCGAACACAGGGGGTATCCTAGAGGGCTGAGTTCCGTTGCCAAGAACACTAGATTACCCATGCAAATAGCAAAAGTAGTTAGCATCAAAGTAAGCAAAAAGGGGTGGGTTAATCAAAAAGGGAATACTGTTTCCTTTGCATATTCTCCAAAGTATCTCCATTATCAAATATTGTGAAGTATTAACAAAAAAAAAAAAGAGAGAACTCAGGTTATTATCTTATCCCAAATAATATAGAATTATGAACAGTCACTCACATGAATTTAGAACATAATGGATGCCCTCAGACGTGAAGTTGCATCCTATAAGCAGCAATGCGCTATGCAAATGCTACGGTTCTCTGCTGGCTGGACCTATCGAAGAATTGCCAAAGACCAAAGCCTTAGTGTTAGCACCATATACAAGATCTGCCAAGGTCCATCAACCCTGAAGAAGCCCTTTCTTGACGAGCAGAAGAAAGGTCTACGACTTGTATTTGCGCAAACCTACTGGGATTGGAGCAGAGAGGACTGGGGCTGGGTGATTTGGACTGACGAGTATTATATCTGGCTTTCTAATAACACTAATCAAGTTTGGATCACCCAGCACCCTGAGGAGGAGTATCATAATTATTGCCTCATCTCCAAATTTCTCAAGAAGAATTCCATCATGGTATGGGGTGGAATGCTTGGAAAGAAAAAAATGCAGACTGGTTCTTTAGAATTAGGACAATTGGGAGACAATGTAACGATCCCTCTCTGGATAGTTAGTGCTTGGCGACGGGGAACGATACTTCTCTTCCTGTCTTCTTCTTCCTTTGTCTTACGATAGCTCTAGGCCTCTGCCTACGTTACCGATAGTACAAGACCCTTGTCTTCTACCGGGAACGCCTATCGTAAGCTTTCTCTAACTCTTCTTCGTAAAGCGCCTTCCTTGGCGTAACGATAACGTTGCAATAAGGATAAAGATCGTAAAGGTGTTTTATATTCGTTAAAGTAATAAGTAGGAAAAGTACTTAGAACAAAGCATGAAGAACCTATCTTCCTCGGCCGCATCAGCCTCCTTATATAGTGTTCTTCCCGCCTTTAGTCATGTGACCTAAAGTGGTCACATGTGCGAAACCAAATCATAACAAACTAGTCATATGACCAAAGTGATCACATGCTCAAAACCCATGACCTCATAGAGAGGTCATGTGCAAAACTCATAAACCAATCATAATGCAATAAACAAGTTATATGACTTGACTGAGTCATATGCACGAAACCCATGACCTCATAATGAGGTCATGTGCGAAACATAAATCATATACGCAAGGCTTACCCGTAAGGCACACTCGTAAGGCATACTCATCAGGCGCATGTCCCATGACTCATACTTGAGCCATGTGCGAAAGTATCACAAATCCCACACATAACAAATCATATAACCCGAATAGGTCATATGCGCGAAACAATAACATACCTGTGACTCATAACTATGTGTCATGTGAAAACCCTTTCCTCATTAAGCCATGTTCGTGACAGACAATAACTTCCAGAAGTTATGTTAACAATGTCCTCACTCTAGTTCTCCAGCCCTTTCAGAATTGGGAGAGTGAGCTGGCAGGCCATCCTTTCTGGCTTATGGAGGATGGCGCTTCTGCTTATCGAGCAGCTCATACCCGCTAGGTCAGGGAGGGATACGGGATTCCCAAATTCAACTGGCCCCCATCCTCTCCCAACCTCAACCTAATTAAGAATGTTTGGCATATCTTAAAAGATATGCTAAACAAGTGACAGGTAAGGCCTGAGGGCTGGGAAGGTATGGTAGAGGCTATCAAGGAGGAATGGGAAAAGATTTTGGAGGTAGAGCTTTTGACTTTTATTGATTCCATTCCCAAATGAATAGAAGCCATTATTGCAGCCTCTGGGGGTCATACTCACTGGTAAATTTCTTGTAATTCTATTTTTTGTATATATTTTTTAATAAATTCTAATTTTTAATATACATTTTCTTTAATACTTCTATGTTTTGAGCGAAGAGAAGTCTTTTATCTACTTGTACTCCAACATCCCTTTTCGGGACTTTGACGCTAACTAATTTTGCTATTTGCATGGGTGATCTAGTGTTCTTGGCAACGGAACTCAGCCCTCTAGGATACCCCCTGTGTTCGCTCCGCACATCCTAGGGACTTGTACTCCGTAGACAAAGTTGGTCAAATCACGTGACCACAGACGACTTGAAATTCCTGCCAAGAACTCTCCTTCTGCACGTCGCGACGTTGAGCTTTCCACGACCGTGCAGGAGCAAAACAACTGGTCATGAGGTCATGAGCAGAGGTGTTTGTCTACCCCAATGGAGCCCATTTATCTCTTCCGGAACCTGCTACGTCAAGCCTCCATTCTTTTCGATGATGTCGCCCGTGCCCATACCGCCAAACTTATCACAAGCGGCTTTCGAAGAAATCAAAAGTTAGAGGATGCTTGGATTATCCACGAAAAAATCAAAAAAGGTCGTCAGGCTTTATCACTTCTACGACAGGCAAATTCTGGGGAGCCCAAACCACTGAGGAAGGTTCTAGACCTGGCGTACGGGAGAGACGGTCACCGGAGGCGTGAGCTTTTACAGGTTGGTAGAGCAATGAATTGCTGCACCACTTCCCATAAACCCTTCATTATATTCAAGCGCTGACCTATGCCTGAATTTGAAAAGCCCATTCTTGATAGAGCCACAAGCTCCGACCCTCTTATACCCGGCGTGCCTCGTACAGCTCCTCCGCCAATCTCGGACGAATTGATGGCGTTGATGAAGCATCAGGTTGGAACGACAATCCACAGAGCTGAACCTGAGATACCGAAATTTAATGCTTGGGGGCGACCCATGCCCAAACGTCGTGTGGCTAATATGTTGCGCCGACATAGGGAATATGTACTTAGACGATTGCTTCCTCCCCTGCCAGAGGAAATGATCCAGAGGCTAGAGAGATTCGTTCGTGGAGCGGAAGAGCCAGTGCTGCCAAGGCGCAAGATCAAGCCTACCCCCACTGCTCAAGACTCTGGCCGCAAATTATCTCCGAGGTTCAAAAGGAGGGCGTACAAGAAAATCGTCATTAATACCCCTCTCATGAATATCAATGAGAAAACCCAAAAGCCCGTAGCTTATTGGTCAGATGTTGCGAAGGGCCCGCCAATCGAAACCGGAAAGCTGTGGGATTTTGAGGGTCTCAAGAAACCGGAGGTGCAGAAGCCTGGAAGGACAAAGGCAAGAATTCTTAAAGAGGAGGGATCCAAGGATGGAAAGCAGATGCTACCCAACCAGAGGGACGGAGAGGTAGGATCACTCAAAGAATCAGAGGATCGGGTCTCTGCAGAACCGGAAGAAGTACCTGGAGAAGTGGAGGAAGTTTATTATGAAGATGGGGAGGACGAGGAGCCCAAAGAACCCGAGGAGCGAGTCCCCGCAGAACAGGACGAAGTGCCCAGAGAAGTAGATGGGGAGGATAGAGGACCTAAAGAGCGAGAGTGGGAAAGGTCCAAAAAGCTCGATAGGCGGGATATGAAAAGGAAGTGATGAAATAGATAGGAGGGCTCTGGTGCTTAGGAAACGCTGGATTTAATATACGTCTATAGTGAAGGCCACTTAAACACGTGCGAGAGAAGGATCATCCGACCAACTAATTAAGTCTTTACACAATCCTAGACCTCCCCCCATTGACCAATACTAGAGCAGAAGAGCCGGGATAATTGGCTCGAGGAAAAGGTACTGCCGGTCTCGAAGAGAGCGAGATTGAAATCAATGTGCACAGATATTTTTTTGAATATCCCTTCCGCTCCCGGGCGTTCCATTTTAAAGCACTAGATCAAAAACGTCCCGCCCAATATGATACCTCACACCGAAAACGTATATCCCCCCCGCCACTCCGAGAACACCAATGCCTTTGAAGATCTACGGGGACTTTACAGTGCCGCCTGTAGATAAATAAAGGCATTTACAGAACTCTTGAAAATTGTAGAACCATGGAGAAAGCGACGGTTGGGTGGGGGGCATGCAGTTTCCGTATACTATACGGTACAATTCAAACGGAGCCCCCATAATATTTTTAAGTCACTCCCACGCTTGTCACACGAGTACAATTTTAAATAGTAAGTTCAATTTCACCTGCACCTCTAAGGCGTTGAGAACAAAGTGGTTCCCTAGCTGGTGGCAGAACTCCAATTGTTTTTAACAAGCGTGGCGTTGGGGACTGTCCCTCTGAAAATGTCCATTTTTGACCAAATTTGTTGTAAACATAGTATAATTGGGGATCCGCAACGGCTGGCCGCCCAATAGTATAAGTCAAGGAACCAATCTTGAAAACCTTAAACCGGAGAGAGAAAGTTCACACTATTTTACCTCTGAACTTAACCTCTAGCTCTGATGATATAGCCTACGGATCATTAGGAGGCTGTCATGGGGACTCTTACTCCAACACCCGTGATACAACACAGCGCCCCGTCCCCTCTTCCCACAAGGTATGATAACTCCTCGAAACAATCATTTCCCGAGTGATAATCTATGACCACTTTTATCTCCCCACTTGCATCGTACCGAGGGATGATAGCTGGAATGCGTATGATAGACAAAGTTATGCATTCCGATGGCACCGATGGTATTTGCTAGGTATGTATTTGGGATCATGGTATGACTGTCCTGCTGCGAGCGGCGATGTTCGCCTTCCTCCTTGAGCGCCTGTTCGAGCTTTCCAGAGATGTGGGGGATCACCGAGGGTCACTAATGGGATAGATAAGTTCATGTTGTGGGCGTGGAGGTATCATACCCGTCACGGCTCGAGCTTGGGCGCCTGTCGCGAGTATGATACAGCACCTTGCGGTGGTGAAAATGGTTATAAAATTTAATATAGCTAGACTATGGGTGGAGTGTTGGTTTTAAAATTAGTGCCCTTCTTAGGGAAGTACCGGTATTGCGTCTAGATCCGGGTGGGGTACGGTAAGGCATCAGTTGGGCTCTCGGGGGTATGGTGCATAAGAATAGACCATAGGCTCAAAGAATATATGACAATACCCTTGATGCCAGTCCCCCATTTTATGCGTTCTGTCGGTATCAGCAGTCCTTCCATCGACACAGCCTAGGCTAAGGGCTGTTTACATGTCTTCGGGCGATTCTCGAAGCCCGGATCACTCCCGGGGAATGGCAATATCGGTCACACAACCCCTGTGCGCGTTATGTTAGTTTTCGTACTGCTGTCTAAGTTTCCTGTGTTGGGCAAATTGTGGCTCCACTCTCTCGAGTGAGTCTTAGGAATCAGGCGAGGGTCTGATAAGTCCAAGCATAATACTTCGAATTCTCATAAATGTTCTTTTGAAACCATGTATCGTATGGTCGTGCTTGGGCAGCATACAATGGTGGTAGGATGTCGGTTTCCGCGCTGTGAGGTCGAGATTGCTCGTCGTGATGTGTAGGTTCTCTGTCTGAGCCATATCGTATCTTTCTCAGCTGAATTTGGTCGCTCCGAGGATGTTTCCTCAGTGCACAGCTAAGGACACGGTTTAGGTTGACAGGAATTTAAGATAGGATATGTCTGAATTAACATGGGATTTTTGTGCAGAGATATTAGCTCTACAAGTCTGGTATTATAGAAGGCAATTAGAGGGCCTAAATCCTTACGATCACTTAATATTAAGTATGGAGAGGCGAGTACTCTTGTAGTGATATTATGGTATCATATGGATGACCATCATACCGGTATCGACCTCAGAGGAGCCGCGTCGTTCATAAGGAAGGGATTCTATTCGAGTATTGCACTATCTAGTGTTGGTGTGGCTTGCGTCTGGGTTGGAAATTACAGTAGAGGTACCCGTACAGTAAATTTACTCGAGTATGATACGGTGGCAGTGATTGGCAGCGCCCTCTTTTTTTTTTAGGCCAGTGTGTGTTGACAATTTAGCATCTTACAAATATGATATGATACAATTGAGTACTCGAGTACTTGTAAGTTACGGTACTTGGTACAGTAACTGCGCGCTAAAGTTCCCCGCGTCCTCTGTCGAGCGACACCCTACCCCATATCGCACACCCGGCTCTTACTCCCATGTATTTTACCCACCTTCGCTCACTTCACCCAAAAACAACAACAACACCAAACCTAAAACCCTACCATACCCTCATAACTATTATACTCCCCATACCAATATCTAGTTGTTCATAATCGCCGCTGACATGTCTTCCCTCTGGTTGGCTAAGAAGCGGAAGGCTGAGCTTGTCGATTTTGCAGAACAACTTGGCCTTCGGTACGATCCCTCTTGATCTCCTTTCGTGATCTATTTGCGCGTCGCACAAGAGCGCAGCTAATAATTTTGGAAAACAGTGTCGATGGCTACCTTAAGCATGATATTGAGAACCTACTCACCGATTATCTGGACACTCATTCTGATCAATACTTGAATGACCCCACTTTCAGCGCATACTACGACACGATAGCTACGCGGTCCCCCATGAAGCATGCACTATCTGTGGCGGCCGTTTCTGACGCCCCTCTGACGCGCTCAACCAGACGGAGAACCACGCGGTACGCTGTTGAGAGTCTCACGGAGAACGCTTCCACGTACGTATCCACCCTTCCTCGCGGCTGCGTCGATTCTCGAACCCTAATTTGGAACCCACAGCGCAGAGGAAGAAAGCCCAGAGCCCCGCTCAACTGAGAGAACTTTGAGATCCGGATCTCGCTCTCTCTCAACCCGCACCCCTAGGACCGTGCGATCGCTTCGCGAGGCGGCACAGGTCCCTCTGCCGCCGACCCCGGCTGCCATCGCAGATGCGATCGAGAGCGGCACAAATGCCATCAGGGAGAGCGCGAAGAAGGCGGTAGAGAAAGCCGCCATTCAAGAAAAGGCAATAAGTCTACGCGACCGCTTGTCGAATGTCGTTTCCGTGAATGCCGTCTCGTTGGCATATGAAGCCATCATCTTGCTGTACCATCTGATTCCCTTCACCTACACTGCCAAGATACCCACGATACCGGTGATCGAGAATTCACCGAAGCTCTTCCTTTTGCCGGATCTCTTCGTGCTCTTGACTGCGGGTTTTTGGGGCCCATTTGCGACATGGCTGGCTACAGCTATCTTCATTCCTTTGGCTAATGCATATTTTTTCAATTTGACAGCAACAGCTGCAGCTGCTCGTTCGAGTTCCAATGTAGCTATGTACAGGTCGGCTGAGGAGTACAAGGCGGACCCTCTCGCTTTTGCGGTAACCAAGGCTCTTATTGCTTACTTGGTCCATTACAAGGGACTCGAGTTCATGGGTCTATTCAACCCGAAGAATCTAGCAATTGTTGGAAGAAGTGTCGGAAGAGAGACACAGTTGATCGGAGCAGGTATTGCAGGTCTTGCGGCACTCTGGGAGTCGATCCTGAAGCGATAGACATCGCCTCTTGGGAATTATTCAGGGGGTGAAACTGTGTTAACGACACCTCTTGAGTGCCAAGGGAGTAGCCGGGGCCGGATTGGTATTAAGATTGGGAACTGGAATGGATGCTATTGAGCTCTTTTTTTTTTTTTCGTGGGGGGGTGCGTAGGAAGTGTTATTCGGTCCTTGGTTATTTTTCTGTTTCCTTATTGAGGGTTATCGTATGGGCTTGTAGGCTCGGGATTACGGCGGTATTATGTTTTCTAGGTGTAAATAGGATAGTTCTTTGAATTTTCCTGTGAAGTTGTGCGGCCGAGAATAGTTTAATGTGGGAGTTTCTCATTCATACTTGTACAGCTTCGCGAGTCTCACGTCTGTGTCGGAATATATCACATCCACACTGTGCAGTAGAATACCGGTATTTAAGCTCAGGTACAGTACGAGTACAGTACAAGTAGTCGAATACAGTAGAGTACCGGTGCTCGTTTGATACATTATCGAGAACTGGTCCCAGCGTACATAAGAGCACGCGCCGAGATTAAGTCAGATCCCTGCCGGATGCTTGAGAAAGCAAAAACACCACAGTGTTCCTATTCCCAAGAAGAAGAAAGGAGCATTACAATCACTCAATCAATTCTCCTCCTGCTTCACACACCAACACTACCTAGCTTGGGGAGTAGCACCATATTGTCTCGGCATTCCCGTAGACCTTTATCCTTTGCTTGTATCGATCTCCTCGCTCCGCAAGCAGAGACCACCGTCTGGTATCTTACGAGCCTCACCCTTGGCGTCCCCCACTCCTCAGGGTCTTACAAGCACCATCCACTGATATTACCACCACCAGGGCCCCCATCGCACACGAATCTAACGAATAAACAACGAAAAATCTCCCAATAATGTCTTCCTTCCTTGAGCACTCGTACTCGATCGTTCACCTTGATAATGCCGCAGACCAGCCATCGATTCAGCAGCTACAACAGCAGCTGGAAAAGGGTACCGATGAATCCAAGGTGGAAACTATGCGTCGGATTCTCACCATCATGTTGAATGGCGATCCCATGCCGCAACTCTTGATGCACATTATCCGATTTGTCATGCCCAGCAAGTCAAAACCACTCAAGAAATTGCTATACTTCTACTACGAAATTTGCCCGAAACATGATGCAGGTGGGAAGCTCAAGCAGGAGATGATATTGGTGTGGTAGGTATTTGTCCGGGGAGGGGAGCTTGAGGTTTTATTACGCCTCCTGTGTTGGCCTTTATGTCACATGGGAGCTTGATATAATCTATTGATGGAATTCGTACGGGAATAGGGGAGTAAGAGCTAATGTGGATATGTGGTATATAGCAATGGTATCCGAAACGACCTTCTCCATCCTAATGAATTCATCCGTGGTGCAACACTGCGTTTCCTTTGCAAAGTCAAAGAGCCCGAGCTTATCGAACCATTGGTCCCCTCTGCCCGTCAATGCCTCGAACATCGTCATGCCTATGTCCGCAAGAATGCCGTTCTGGCTATCCAATCAGTATATCTTCACTCGGAACATCTGATACCTGATGCCCCCGAACTTATCCAAACGTTCCTGCAAACTGAGAGTGACAATACTTGCAGGAGGAACGCTTTTGCTTCTCTAAGTGCGATCTCACATGCAAAAGCTTTAGAATACCTTAATTCCGTTTTCGATGATATTGCCAATACAGATGAGCTGACGCAACTCGTGCTCATTGAGTTCACTAGAAAGGATGCCATACTTAACTCAGGAAACAAGGTGGGTTTTGATTGCTTGCATCTCATTGGGGGATACTTCTTATAGTGGGGCTTTTCTTACACATGGGAGCAATGCAGGCAAGATATCTAAGATTGATTTTCGATCTGCTCGAGGCATCCTCAAATACTGTCGTATACGAAGCTGCAACCTCCCTAACAGCTTTAACAAGTAATCCGGTTGCAATTAAGGCTGCTGCTGGGAAATTTATCGAGCTCAGTATCAAAGTTTCTGACAATAATGTCAAGCTTATAGTTCTCGATAAAGTAGATCAGCTTCGTAAGAAGAATGATGGTGTGCTTGATGATCTAGTCATGGAAGTACTACGGGTCCTGTCCAGGTATAACATCCATTACAGAATTTCCGTCAATCAACTACCCCTCCGCTCACTGAATTAATTTCTAACTTAATAAAAAACAGTCCTGATATCGATGTGCGGAAAAAAGCTCTCGATATCGCAATGGACATGGCGTCAAGCAAAAACGTAGAAGAGGTGGTAATGCTGCTCAAGAGCCAACTTGCTAAAACCGTGGATCAAGATTATGAAAAGGTATGAAAAATGTCACCACTTTCAGAATTCCGAGCGATAAATTCCAACGCTTTACAGAACAACGAATATAGGCAACTTTTGATTCACGCCATCCATACATGCGCCATCAAATTTTCTGAGGTTGCCGCGAGTGTTGTTGGGCTGCTTATGGACTTCATTAGCGACTTCAACAACTCTTCTGCAGTAGATGTTATTGCATTTGTTAAAGAAGTTGTCGAGAAATTCCCTGCATTGCGTTCATCTATCATCGAGCGCCTCATGGGCACTTTAGGTGAAGTGAGAGCCGGAAAGGTCTATAGAGGAGCATTATGGATTGTCGGAGAGTACTGTGTTGAGCAGAAAGGTAATTGGTCGGGTTTGGGTTTGGGTTTTTGGGTGGCGAAACTAATTTCATCTCTTCTCTTCCCAACCAGATATCCGGGAGGCGTGGAAGCGGATCCGTGCCAGTCTTGGTGAAATACCAATCCTTGCGTCGGAACAGCGTCTACTAGATGAGCAACCCGAAGACGATGCAGAGCAAGTTGGTGAAGGTTCAAAACCGGCAGTGCCATCAGGATCACGCAAAGTGCTTGCAGATGGTACATATGCAACTGAAAGCGCCCTGACAAGCGAGTCTGCGAGTGCTGCCAAACTTGAAGCTGTCAAGGCCGCTCAGAAGCCACCTCTACGCTCACTCATCCTTGACGGCGACTTTTTCTTGGCTTCTGTACTTTCATCTACTCTCACAAAGCTTGTCATGCGCCACTCGGAGATCTCCTCTGACGCCTCTCGCACCAATGCCTTGAAAGCCGAGGCTATGCTGATCATGATTAGTATCATTCGTGTTGGTCAGAGTGAATTTGTGAAAGCGAAGATTGACGAGGACAGCGTGGACAGAATCATGTCCTGTGTGCGTTCGTTGGCGGAGTTTGAGACAAAGAAGGAGATTGAGAAGGTCTTCTTGGAAGACACCAGAAAGGCATTTAGGGTTATGGTGGCTGCCGAGGAAAAGAAGAGGATCGCAAAGGAGGAGCTTGAGAAGGGAAAGAACATGATTCAAGTCGATGATGTTCTTGCTATTAGACAATTGAGCAAGAAGTCGGCGGCTAACGGAGCCGATATAGTCGAGCAGGATCTGGAAAAGGCTACAGGGGCCGATGCTAGTGTCGAGGACCTTTCCTCGAAGCTTAGTCGCGTTGTGCAGCTCACCGGATTTTCCGACCCAGTATATGCTGAGGCATATGTTAAGGTTCACCAGTTCGACATCATTCTTGACGTTCTACTTGTCAACCAAACCACCGAAACCTTGCAAAACCTCTCGGTCGAATTCGCCACATTAGGAGATTTGAAGGTTGTTGAAAGACCAACTACCCAGAATCTTGGCCCTCACTCATTCCAGTCTGTCCAAGCAACAATTAAGGTCTCCTCCACAGACACCGCAGTAATCTTCGGTAACGTCGTCTACGACGGACCGTCATCCACCGAGACCAACGTGGTCATCTTAAACGATGTACATGTCGACATCATGGACTACATTCAGCCGGCTTACTGCAGCGAGACCCAATTCCGAACCATGTGGACCGAGTTTGAATGGGAGAATAAGGTCAACATCAATTCGAAGGCCAAGACACTGAGAGACTTCCTTGACCAATTGATGAAGAGTACGAACATGGCTTGCTTGACCCCCGAAGCAAGCTTAAAGGGGGACTGCCAATTCCTGAGCGCAAATCTTTACGCAAGATCTGTCTTTGGTTAGCCCCCCACCCAGCCAATCTATCCATTCCCCGCAAATTGATAGCTAACTCTTTCTTTCTTACAGGTGAGGATGCACTAGCAAACCTCAGCATCGAAAAAGAAGGTGACGATGGCCCGGTAATAGGCTTCGTCCGCATCCGAAGTAGGTCCCAAGGCCTCGCGCTCAGCCTCGGTTCGTTGAAGGGCCTGCAAAAATAATGATGGGATGGAAGCGGATAATGAGTTTGCTGATGCCCTTTCTTTCGATGTTAACTAGTACTCTTATTCTCTTTTCAAAGAAAAAAAAAGTTTACGTGGGAAATAGGAAAGGGGGGGGTTGGAAAGAGGCGTCTTTTTGTCATGTTAGAACAATGTACTGTACAATGGTGAAGCAAAAAAAACTGCTGTCCTTGGTTTACTCTAGCGTCCCCCCCAAGGATATTAAACACAATACAGTATGATACGTCTTCGAAAAAGCCACGGTATCAGGCACCACGATAGACGTGGGTCAGATCGTTCGACGGATCGCCCCACTACCTATCACTCGATGGGCCATCACTCTGCTCTGTAGAACCATGAGAGAAGTCCACTATAGACAGCGTCACCGGGCTGAAAGGGAAACTTCACCGGGCTGAAAGGGAAACTAGGAACATCCGACGAGATTGTACCCATTCTCTTCTCCTCACTAACCACCTACATAAAGCCACCAAAGTTCTAATAAAAAATAGATATATAATTATTGTGAAAAAAGAAAGATTAAAACGCGGTATTATGCCCATACCCATAGTACCTATCCTCATCATCATACTCCCCCTTGATCCCCCCTCCCTCGGAACCGGAGTACCCAGAATGCCCAGAATATTCACTCTTGTAAGGGTATCCATCGTCATCACTATATCCCCCTCCTCTGTCGTAATTCCAACCATCATACCCATCACGCACTTCCTCCTCCTCCTCCTTAACCGTCGCAGTTGAAATTCCACCGTTAGCCCAGCCACCACGTCCACGTGTGCCTCCAGCGCCACCCCTAGTGCTACATCTAGCAGTTTGCTTAGTCCGGCCTCGAGCTGCTGCTGGTGGGGGTGAGCTAGCTTCGTGCTTGGTGGGCTGCACAGCACGACCGCCTCGAGCTCCGCCACGACTACCGCGACCACCACGACTTCCGGGACCGCCTCCAGCGCATTTTGCTGCAGCTGCAGGGGTTTTGGATGGCGGCTCAGCTTTTGGAGTACGGCGTTTGGGAGCGGAGCTGGCCCCGCGCTTGGCAGTTTGTCTGGCTCTGGGGGCAGGGGCGGGTGGAAGGGCTGTCAAGTATATCTGTATGTTTCCGCCGGCGGCGGCGGTTGCAGTTGGCGGGGCTTGTGCTTTCGCACGAGGTTTCGCCTTTGCTTTGACCCCCGGTTCGGGGTCTGGCTCTACAAGTAGTCCCGGCTCCTTTTTCGCACGGGGTTTCGCTGCAGCTACTGGAGCGGTTGTCTTCCCGGCACCCGTAGAGGTCTTCTTTGCAACCTTCGCGGCGCCCAGGACCCTCTTCAACCGATCTTCCTTGTCCTTCTTGACTCCTCCACCACCCTTCCCTTCCTTCTTCACACCGGTTGCCTCCCTAACCTGCGCGTTCAGCTTCCGAAACTTGCCATTCTCGACGTGCTCCAGCTCCACCAGATATTCCGGGATCTGCAGGTCCCCACGACGAAGCGCGTTCTCCAGCTTCTCGCGTAGTGATTGGATTGCCAAAGATTGGGGGGCGTCGAGCCCGTACAGGAGGCATTGGCCACGCCACCAGGGCTTTGGCTTCGCTTTATTGGGGAAGATGCCTGGCGAGGTGAGTAGGAGGGCTGTTAAGGTACTCACGGACTCGCGGGCGTGAGTTTCGTGCAGGAGGCCAGAGCCTAGGGTACTGAAGTGAGGGGGTATCTGTACCGCCGGTATGACAATTGCTATGGGGTGTGTTAGGAATGTTTTTGATGATGGAGGGAGAGGGGGAGAAAATAGGAGGGAGAGGAACTCACGGTTTAAGGCAGACGCTGTGGATGGTGCCATTGTGTGATGTGTGGTGAAAGGTTTTTCTCTCTATGAGAAGGGAAGAGAGAAAAGGAGACGAGCTAATATGGCAACGGGATGCTTGTTGAACAATGGCGGGAACTCACAATGGGGCCGAGAGAATGGATACAGTCTTCACGGGGGGGGCATGTCGGCACGACGAACCTGGGCGGGTGACTACTAACTAGGTACCGGTATTTGGTCAGCCAAGAGGGAAACCGTCGAAGCAGGGTAACCAGAAATTATGATAAGTTACTTGTATGTTTGATACAAGTACGAGGACCTGCCGTTGACCCTTCCGCCACGAGTATAATGCTGTATGGTGAAGACTGTTGGCATAGTACGGTAACCTACCGCTGGAATTATACCACGGCACAAGTTACCGGTATTCCAAAAAAGTGTATGTTTTTGAATACTCTACCGGTAATTACACAGATTCCTTCCATCAACTGACCGAAGTGTTAGTCTACTCGTACCTTTTGTCGATACTTGTAACTGAATCCCTTTGTTGGGGGGGGATGACATTCTATCGTATACTGTAGTACGAGTACCCGAGCGAAGCAGGGTTTTTCTGGGGCCGAGCCGGGAAATGATCGCACGGGTGGCACAAGTAATCCGCCCCGTCCCTCCCGAGATTTGATGGTGTCTTGAGTTTTTAGCCCCCGTATTTTATGTGTGCACAGACTAGTTTTGGAGGTTTCAAAAAAGGAAAGAAATATCAACAAATACACCCAAACCCAGTGTTCTCTTGCTCAGAAGTTGAAGCATTACGGAGGTACAGCTCCTAAGTTTTGTATGTTACACCAGTTGCTCACACAATGCCCACTGCGAGTGTAACATACAAAACTTAGGCGCTGTACCTCCGTATTCTCCCGGGCGTGGGCGAAACACTGCATCTTGCTGGGATAAAAAAAAAAAACGTTGCTATTTGATATTCTGTAGGGAGAGCCCGGGATCGGCTGGTACTATACGAGTAGAATAGGATTTCTCCCGATTTGTGCTCCTATATTGTCACTGCGAGTGCCGGCCTGGACGGGGGGGGGGAACACATGGAAAAAGGAGGGAAGAAGAACAAGTGAGCAAAAGTTCCAAAATCAAAACATTTTTCAAACATCGGCATCGGACTATCATATATCTAACCCTGCGCGAAGAGCACGTCTAAGTCACCGCTCTCATTTTTTCGCTCTTCAAAATTACTTACCGTATGAGAACGTGCAGCGTAGAGTAGAAGATGTCTCCCCCCTCACTTCCTTCCCTCGGATAACGGTTTGCCCCGTGTTTAATGGGAACGCACCCCCCCCCCGAGAAACCAACATCACAATATTATCCCCCATCACAATACTATCACGCTACGAGCTTTTAATGCCACTACCTCTGTTAACCCGTCTTGACCATCTACCGGCCTCCTACGATCCATCAGCCTACCACATTCAGGAGGCCTCGGGGCAGATTCTTTGGATTTTGGCCGGATTTTGGTCATCCGGGACTGTGAGGTGCGACTGTATTGGATAACGGGACCACATTCGTGCCCTTTACAGCCGCATTGCGGAATTTGGAATGGTAGGAATATGGAGAGCTCGAGGTGGAGATGAATACCGTAGGTCGATGGGAGAGCTGGCAAGAGGGTTTTAGTAGCATTGATACCAGTATCTATACAGCTACGAAGGTACAGCCCCTAAGTTTTGAATATTCTGCTAGCAGGGGTGTTATGCGGGCAGGGATTATAGTGGTAAACTGTAAGTAGAAGGAGGGTGGGTTGAAGTCTTGGAATGGGGGATGAAAGGTTTTTCACGAGAGTAATTTTTTTCGTATGATACTTCACAATTAATTATCAACCAATATGCCGCACTTGACCCGGGACCAAAGACGTGACTGCCAGCTCCTACGCTCAATAGGCTGGAGGTATAAGCAAATTCAGGAAAAAACAGGCTTTTCCCAACACCAGATTCAGTATGCATGCACATCGCCAGCAACACCAACCAAGAAACCAGGTTGCCCTCCTACTCTTACCCAAGCACAGATTGAAGACCTTATCGGATATGTGTGTATGTCAGCCAGGAATAGACGGCTTTCTTTTCAACAATTGGCTGAGGAGTTGGATTTGGGGGTAGGAAAGAAAGCAATACGGGCAGCACTCATTAAGGAGGGGTTTCACCGATGGCTGGCGATGAGAAAACCACCAATCTCTGAACGAAACCGTGTAATAAGACTCAACTGGGCTCAGGAGCATCTTCACTGGACACAGGCAGAGTGGAATTCCATACTGTGGACCGATGAAACATGGATTACGGGTGGAAGGCATACACGCACTTGGGTTACACGGAGAGCAGGAGAAGAGTGGGACCCTACTTGTATTGTTGAAAGACATCAGAGAAAGAAAGGATGGATGTTCTGGGGATGTTTTCATGGTAGCACGCAAGGTCCCGGAATATTTTGGGAAAAGGATTGGGGTCCGATCAATTCAGAAACCTACTGCGCACATACAGTACCTGTTATTCATGGGTACATTGAGCTCTGTCATCAAGATGGGATAGATTTGAGACTCATGCAGGATGGGGCACCGGGACATTCAGCAGGCAATACCTCTCTGGAGTTAAGAGAGAGAGGAATCGAGGTTATTTTCTGGCCGGCATTCTCACCTGACTTAAACCCTATCGAAAAAGTATGGCATACCATGAAGAATTATCTCCAAGATAACTATCCAGAGACTATGTCGTATGACAGATTGAGAGTAGCTGTCAAGACTGCATGGAATAATGTGGGAGAGCACGAGTTCCTAGAGCTTATTGAAAGTATGCCTGCTAGATGTCAGGCCGTTATTGATGCCAACGGCCTTTTCACCAAGTATTAAACACTCCCGGAGTTTCCTTCATCCCTTTCCCAACACAGCTATGGCCAAACACCACTCTCATCTTGAGGACACAGAGTGAGAGATCACAGTAGCTATAGAGTAGGAAAGATGAAGAGTCGGGAGAGCAGGGGACTGGAGAGGAGTGGGAGCTTTGGACCGAGGAGGGTTGGGAGCTGTGGGCCAGGGAGGATTGGGAGCTGTGGGTCGGAGAGGATGGGAGCAGGGAGAGCTGGAGAGTTGTAGATAAGGGAAGCTGGAAAGCTGTGCACTGTGGAAGCTGGCAACTGGGGACGATGGAGACTGGGGAAGCTAGGAACCATGGAAGCTATGGACTGGGGAAGCTGTGGACCGGGGAAGCCGGAGACTGGGGAAGCTAAAGACCAGGGAAGCTGGTAACCGAGGAACATGGGGAAGCTGGCAACCGGGAAAGGTGGAGAAGCTGGTGACCGGGGGAGATGTGGATGGGGGAAGCTAGAGACCGGGGGAGATGTGGATGGGGGAAGCTGGAGACTGGGGAATATGGGTAAGCTGGAGACCAGGAGAGATGGAGACTGGGGAAGCTGGTGAGTGGGGGAGATGGGAGAACGATAGTTAGAGGCTATCCAATGCTGAAGTTTGTCTTTCCTTTGTTAGTTATCATATTTCTAAAAGCACAGGGGGACGTACCTGGGAGGACCCTGTATACACAGAAGTACTGTGGAAGGACAGGAGGATGTGGTTGTTGTTTTTTATATATATCCTGTCATTACCATTTTTTAGTTAGATGGTCATCCTTGAGGTTGTTTATGAGACGAAGAGTTTTCATGTTCTGGGCATTTCTCACTTACCTTACTTCAAGTTTGCAGGTGATTTATGGCTGTAGGGGACTGGAAGACTAAAGGATCGGAGGACCAGGGGGCATAGTCGGCAGAGGAGTTGGAAATATTTGATCCATTAAAGCGGTTGTAAACTTGGATATCTGAAGGGAGTAGAAGAGAGTGTCAGTATCAGGCAATAGGATTGCCGCAGATCATGAAAATCGCGTTGTGTTCCACACTACTGTAGTCCTAAGCGACCTTTCCCCATTCATCACCTTAATCCCTGCTAGTGGAATACCCCCTGCTAGCAAAATATTCAAAACTTAGGCGCTGTACCTTCGTATACTCGAGTACTCTGGGTTCCTAGCTAAACTTTGCACAAGTCACGGAATCTGGGCTTCCTTTGTCCCCCATGGCTTATCTTGTACTCTGGTGTCTCCTAAAACCGCGATCCCTCCTTTCGGGACCAAATGAGAGGCTGAGATAATAATATGATAGTGTGATACTATCATATAGGCACGAGTGATCGGGGCCTTGCTGGTAGTCCTCACCCCTCCACCACTAAAGACTATTCCGAGTGAGTGATTAAATGCCATCAGATAAGATCAGATGAGATCAGACAACAATGCCCAGTGCCCACACCGTCCGCACCAACCATCCGTTCAAGGTTTCGAAGCTTCCAGCCGCGCGAACCCAGGGCCTTCCACTTTCCCACGAACAACCCACAGATGACGACCTCCAACGGTGATAACACCCCCGCACCTGCCCCTAACGGGGGCGAATTAGCCCAGCAAATGAACGAGGAGACGAAAAAGAAGTACACTAAAGGTACCCCTTCCACCCCTTCCCTCCCTTCCTCCTGCCTACAGACCGGCCCTAACATACCCCCTTCCCCACAGATCGCAAGGTCGGGGAAGGAACCTATGCCGTGGTCCACCTCGGCCATGTCAAATCCACTGCCCTCCCCGTCGCAATCAAGAAGATCAAACTCTCCGCGATGGTGGACGGGATCTCGATGGATGCGATCCGTGAAGTCAAGTTCCTGCAGGAGCTGCGGCATGAGAACATCATCCGACTGATCGACGTCTTCTCCAGCAAGAACCAGAACTTGAACCTTGTGCTTGAGTTCCTGGATTCGGATCTCGAGATGATCATCAAGGATACCAAGATTGGGTTTGGCGGCGCGGATATCAAGAGTTGGCTTGCGATGAGCCTGAGGGGGCTTTGGTGGTGCCATAAAAATTTTGTTTTGCATAGGGTTGGTTTATTCCATGTTTCTCCCTAAGAGGGGGGGGTGGGCACAGGGGCTAATAATGGGGGTGATGAATAGGATATCAAACCAAACAATCTCCTCCTAGCAACAAATGGTCAACTAAAACTTGCGGATTTTGGCCTCGCCCGCAGCTTCTCGGACCCGTACCGCGCCATGACCAGCACAGTGATAACCCGCTGGTACCGTCCTCCAGAGCTCCTCTTCGGCGCCAAGTCCTACTCCTCATCAGTGGACATATTCTCCCTCGGCCTCGTCTTTGCGGAACTCCTCCTCCGCGTGCCCTTCCTCCCCGGTGACTCGGACGTGCACCAGTTGAGACTAATCGCCACGGCACTCGGAACGCCCACGGAGCAGAACTGGCCGGGCGTGACGAAGCTACCGGATTACGTTATCCCGAACACCGAAGATATAAGACCCGAGCAAGGGAGTCTCTTCTACGGTGAAACTTTCAGGACGCTAACGCCGGAGGGCCTGACGTTGCTCATGTCCATGCTTAGATTGGATCCCCGAAAGCGCTGGTCTGCGAAGCAGTGCTTGGAGAGCGAGTGGTTTAAGGAGGAGCCCACGCCTACGAAGCCGGAGTTGCTACCCAGGAAGGGTGGTGGGAAGGGGATTGAGAAGGTCGGTGGCGATCTCAAGAGAAGGGCGGGCTGGGATGAGGGTACCGACGTTGCGGAGCTTGAGGGGCATAGAGGTAGGAAAGTTGCCAGGAAGTTGGATTTTGGCGGGAAATAAAGTCACTTTTTTATTTTTATAATTTAGAAAAGGGTCCTTTTTGTATACTTAATTTGCGGCGTTAGGAAAAATGGGGCGTTCTGTTTTTTGTTTTGTTATTATATTTCTCATGAAGGGGGTTCTCTACATTGAATGATTATTTGTGGGGGTTATGAGACTATCGTGATTCGTGATGGACTGTTTATAGGACTTTGATGTTAGTGATACCGGCTGTTGGGTTCCAATTAGGTTATGCATTCTCCGTTGCGTTTGCCATTGGGAATCGTCTTTGTCGCGATATATATATAAATGGGAAGAATAATCGCCCGTGAGTTCATATACCACATCACCAAGTCGCGGAGGGAAAATTTCTAGATTTACACTCATTGGGATCAGGGGGGGTCAAGAGAAGAGAGCGAGATGCCCTGCGTACCGTAGTATAATATGACTGTTTTTGGGGTGGGGGTCAGCGCTTTGGGGGAGATAAGAACGACTGAACGGCGGCAATGATGATAACACAAGAGAATTTAGGGTGAATCGATTGGCTAGCTAAGGAATAGCATGTGCATGTCATATAAATAAGGCGGAAAAAAGTATAACAAGGTGATTTCCCCAATTAACATTAGCAGAGTGGTTGAAAATGACAACGGAACGTCTCTAGAAACCCACGATAGAGAATAATAGGGAATAGTGTAGTGTAAAGATTAGTATGTGTAGTACATAGAGCACGGCATGAATAGGAAAGGCTAGAGATTGTAGACCGGTTTCCCCTGGAAGACATACGGTACCGCAATGGTATCGTCAGGGGTCCCATAATGAGAAACATGGCAGCAGAAGTGGAGATCGGCGCTGAAGTGCTCGGACCGATATATATCGATTACTAAAGCAACAACTCTATCAAGTCTGTTCGCTGTAGAAACAGACCCATTCCCAGTTCCTCTATCTTTTGTGGTGAATGCCTTGGATGTATGTCCGTAAGAACACCATACATGGCCCACCAGTTACAGCGTAGCCACAGCTTTAGCCCAAAAGTGCGTGGGATAGTTCTTCTAAGGAGGAAGACTCCTAGAAGGGAGCCTGGAGTTCCACAGGTTGTAGTGGTTTGGTACTGTAGTTCCTGGATATAAGATACATGTTGGAGTGTCCCAATGCCGGACCGCTGGAGTTGAGGAAGTAGCGCAAAGAGGAGCTATCAAGAGGGACTGAGAGCTGTCGGTGTCATGTTGTCTAATTTGTATTTTTTGTGGTGATACTTAGTGATTAGATTTCATGCGGGTATAAGAACTCTCTACGGTGGCCCAGAGTGAAATAGTTGAGTTGGTCAAAGAAGATGTCTCCTTAGTGGTGAACAGCACGAACATCTCACAGGTCAGGCTTCTCAAGGCTTCTCAGTTGCTGCACCGGTGGTGTCAAATCTCTCACTCATGCCAGCTGGATCATCGCAGCGTTGCATATCATCAAGAATGACAGAAGTAGTCTTGCCATTATCTTTAGCAGTGGCTTGAATTGATCTGATAACTTATCCGTCATTCCAAAGACCCGTGAGGAATTTAGGAGACTCCTAGGTGTGAAGATGGAGGAGCGGAGGACGAATAAAGCTAGGGCAGAGAGTCCCATCTTGCGCGGGGTAAATTAGAAGATCAAAAGGTGGGGGTGGTAGTGGGAGGTGATAGCCCTGCCGTAAAGTATCTCCCATGACCCTAAACAAGTATCCGCTTGTAACTTTCTGTAGCAAGCAGGTGGAGTTCAACTTATAATCCGGGATTGGATAGTCTCCCCAGCTTCTCTGAGTGCCCAGCACCCACCCATTACCATCAGAAGGTATTGGTGTGAGCTAGGTATGAACTCCAGGAGCGCCAAATTATTGGCCGCCATCAGTGTGATTCACGATGTGGTTGAAGAAAGGAATTACAAACTGCCGAGTCGAGAGGTAGATCGCCTTCGGGCATTTGATATGGCCCAATTGCAGCATCAGACCAGAGGGCTTCCGGGGATACAACCCCCCAACCCCACTACTCCATAGTCCTGCGGGGGTATCATAGTGGCTGTGGTAAGGTTCAGTTGCGCCGCAGCTATGATAGTTACTGGAGCCAATGTCCCAGCCCGCTCCCTCCGAAAGCAAGCACTATATCCCGATCTAACTGGAGATAAACTGCTCTGCTGGGGTGGAATTCGTTTATTATAACAGGGGATATTGTAGCGGCCATTTGTGGCCATAACTGCCGCTATATGCGATGAGCAATTTACCGAATCCGTGTGGAAGCATTGCTAGGGCTATATTATCTGCAAGCCATCAGAATCCTGCGACCACAGGGGGCCTGCGAGCTTTTAGTACGGAATTAGAAACGAGGTTCAGGGGACTTGTCCCACTGGCATTTGCCTAGGCCAATATCTTGCATGGCTTTGCTGGGAATCTCTGCTTTAGCTTGGTATGCTGGATTGATATTTCCACCTGGGGTTATATCCAGAGGTTGTATATGAAAGATATAATATCATACATCGCTAGGGCTATCCGACCCCTTTTGAAGTAAGGGAGTTGCATTTTTTGAGGAAGCAATTTTGCCTTCCTCAGATGTCGGCACTGTAGAATGGAAGGTTGCTGGGAATGCTTTCGAAGATAATTCCTCATGGAAGCCTGACTGTATTTACATGCTTGGTAGGTCTAGCCTGCCTTCCTTTGTTCAAACACGCCTTTCTTCTGGGGTGCGCGATTGAGGGAGGAGTTGGCTTGCGCTTTTAGCACATGCTGGGGGAATAAGTTGGATGCGAGTTGTTGAGGGCCGGGAAGGGAGTTTCCTTATGAGAGTGGAACGTGAAAAGCAGTGTAAGCCTGGGTCTACTTTAAGTATTGTCTTGTTAGGGAATTGATCTGCTCGGGTGTTTAAAAACAGGGAAGGAGCATATTATGATACGGCGGAGGCGCGATGTTTCGGGGGTCGGCCCTCTCGTTCAAAGGGGAGTCTGGTGGATGTTGGGGTGCAGGGTCTGGGGGATGAAGAGCAAGGGAGCCGGAGGCAATGCTCTTGTGACCTTGCGGTTGCCTACATTACCCTATGGTAGGCGTAGGTCTCTTGGCGGGTCAGTGATCTGATGACGGGAAATTTTGCCTGTGCCTCCAGCCGTATCTGTATTATACTGTACAATGGAGACGATAAGTCTGCACTGTACATAGTACAAGTACTCGAGTGTATTATAATTTTATAAGATTGGTTGTCATTTTTACATTACAATTCATCCCCTTCCTCATCGTCATCCTCTTCTACTTTGATACTATTTATGTCCCCCGTATCGGCCTTCCCCTCCGTCTTGATGCCAACCTTCTTCTCACTTGGGAAATCTTCCAATCTAACTTCCTCCCCTTTAGCTGTTGAATCCCTTCTCATTTTATAAAACTTATCCAAGGCGTCTCGTCTCTGCTTCTGCGTCCATCCTTCAACGACAAGCGCAAACTCCCTAACATCATCAAAGCAGAACATCTTTGCCATAGTACAAAATTGCCTTTTCATAATATGCACTGGCGGGTGAAACTTGTATCTAGTGGAGCCGCCATCGAAGGCAACAAGATCACCGGTATTAGCGTCGTTTGTGGTCTCGACTGCACGCTTGCTTATCTGTGCTTCGACTTTTGATGTGCCGATAACTTCGGAGTTTTCATGAGTGTAGGAAATACCAGCTTCTGCTAGGATTGCGGCGACAGGGTTGTGTGCCTTCCCTATAATATTGTTAGCAAATTTTACACGAGGTGGTTATGGTTTGTAACTTTTCTTAATTGCCTGTTCCCCTTTCGCTATAGCTGCTAGCTGACTGATGGCATTTTCTCCTTCGTAGTCATCATCAAGCTCCACATCTTCTACCTCTTCGTTGTTGATTTCCATTCCAGCAACTTGAACGCCAGCCCTCGACTCCGCAACATTTGTCTTGTTCACAATCTCTTTTAGGATAGTGTTGTTCTGGAATGTGAAAAGGTTGATGAGGCCAAAAAGTTCTCCCTGGTTTGTTTTGTCGCCTTGAACACCGGAAAAGTAACGACGCTCCTCAGAGGCGCCGTAGCCAATATTTGCTTGCTGCTGCTTGTAAATTTGACGGGCATAGACTATCTCCTCGATGGTACCGGCTAGGATAAGTCGGAAGACTTCGACATCTCGGGTTTGCCCGATACGGTATGCGCGATCTTGAGCTTGAAGGTCATAACTGAGGAAATGGGGGGATTAATGTCGTTTATATTGGATAGGATAGGGGTGAGGTGGGGCGTTATTATACCTGGGATTCCAGTTAGGGTCGAAAATGACTACTTTGTTCGCAGCTGTGATGTTTAGCCTGATTCATTTAGCAGCATGCTCTATCATTAGTTTTCGGGTATGGAAATAGCGACTAACCCAACACCTCCAGCCCTCGTTGAAATCAAAAAGACAAATTGCGAGGGGTCACTATTGAACTCGGCAACCACATTTGTGCCTAGCAATCATGGTTAACTTTAAACTTAATATTTTCTAGAGAGAAACGCTCACGATCATCCAATGACATGGACCCGTCAAAATAACAAACGTTATACTCGGTACTTTGGAACAGCTTGTGCAGAATCCTGAGGAGCTGAAGACTGTAGGAGAATATCAGGACTTTATCATCATTTTGGTGCCAAAATTTCAAGAGCTTTTGTAGGACCTGTTTGATACATCGTCAACATTATCCTATGGATGGCGGCTACACTCTAGGATCGTTTACAATCCATTTTCCACACATTTCGGGGTCCATGAAGTTTGTCAACATTTCCCTATTGATTATGCGTTCGAAATCGTCGGGGAGACAGGTCTCTAGTAGCTCCCGCTTCTTATCTCGGGTTTCTTGGTTATCCTCGTTCTCTGCGAAGAAACATTAGCACCGACTTCACGTTAGTCCATTGCGTTAATGGATACTTACGGGGAATCCAATTAGCAAGGTGATTGCTGAGCTTCTGTATCTGCTGAATACATGGAAACACCATCTCCTTCCACTTCCTGCCCGTGCTGTCAGTAACATAACAGCACCCCCCCCTCTTCGCGGGCTCCCCATTCTTGTTCAACTTCCCGCAATCACAGACCTGGCCAGAGTACTTGATGTTCTGTACCATCTCGCTGTCCAGAAATCCCTGATACGCCTTCCTCTGCACCTCAGTCAAGGGGCAGAAGACGACCTTGTCACTTTTTTTGGGCAGTTGGTGGGCTATCAAAGTTTTCAGGCGGCGGAGGAACATCTTTCCTAGTAAGTTGTTTACGAGGCGCTTTGCGATCTTCCTGGCATTGCCGATCTGTCTGAGTGTGGCGTCGTGGGATTGTCCGATTTTGAGGGGGATTGCTATGGCTTTGTTCCATTCTGTCAGGGTTCCGATGCTGCCGGGTCGGCACCAGTTTAGGAGAGTCCAGAGCTCCTCTATTTAGTCTATGTTAGGCGTGGCAGCGGGGTCGGTGGGGTGGGCGATTAGGATTACCATAGTTATTTTGAATAGCAGTCCCTGTCAGACCAATCCTACAAAGAGCATTGATCTCATTTATGGCTTTCGTCACTTCAGTTCTTCTATCTAGAGCCCTACCCATCAGCTCAATCTCTCTAGCTGTCGCGAGCGACTGAGTGATAATACCTTTAATCTGATGGCACTCATCCGCAATAACACAATCCCACTCCACCATATTAATGTCCCCACATGCCTTCTTATACGTCCCATAAGTCGTAATCAGGACCTCGCACCTGCCCGCCCTGGCTGCCTCTAGTGCGCTCTCCTTCCGCTCTTTGCTCCCATGATAAACATACACATTCCACCATCCCCAGACATCAAACTCCCGCTGCCAATTACTTATCAGACCACCGGGACACACAACAATGACCTTGGGAAACCACCTCTTCCTCCCCGCACCCCTGCGCATCTTCCGCATCCGCTTGCGGTCCCGTTCATCGCCGGTCTTGCCGAAGGCAGCTGTTAAGAAGGCTATCACCTGCACCGTCTTGCCGAGGCCCATGTCATCCCCCAGTATACAGCCTTCCTGGAAGACAAAGTTTTTGTGCAAGAAGGCAGCACCCTCGACCTGGTAGTCACGGAGGTATTGTGCTATCGGGCAGGGGATTATACCAAGGGAGTCTTCCAGTGGGATATCCTTGTATGGTGCACAAGGAGGGAGGCTTTTGAAATTTGGTTTGGAGGTTAGCTCGCCCTGAGATATATTGTCAATATGGGTATTGGAAACAAGAGGTGGGGGAAGGCACGAGTCTCTCATCATCACTAAAGTACACGTCCCTGTAATCCGGTGGAAACCTTAGCGCATCCGGAGGCGTATTCGTATCTTCGATAGCAGCCTTCGCAGCCTCAACTGCCTCCTTGCGCGCCTTTAGATACGCCGGCAAGCCCATTTCCACCTCCACCTCCACCTCACCGTTCCGATCGGAGGAAGAATCAGAGGCGGTCCTCCAGAGTCGCTGATTCGCGGCTTTCTTGTTCACAGCTTCACTCTTAACCCGCTTCTTACCCCCCCCTCCCCCTCCCTCCCTCCAAGAACCGTCCACCTTCCGCTTCTTCCGCCCCCTCCGCTTACCAGATTCATCCCTTTTGCGTTTGAATTCTTCGTATGCATCGTCATCTTCATCTTCTGTCATGAGAATGCGCTCACCAGTGCCAGATTGGTGTTTTATCGTGCGGACGGTTTCTTTGGTGCCTACTTCATCTTCCCCTGCTTGGGCTGCATTTGTAAATGATGGTGGAGTATGTCTGGGTGCGGTATTGTTCAAGTCATCATCCGACTCGTCGGTTGAGACCTCGATTGGAGCGGGGGCGATGGCAGTGCCTGGGGTTTGAGCGTTAGTTGGCTTGGTTTGGGTGGCTGGGGCCGCTTACTTGTGGAGCTGCCGGCGGTGTTTAGTGGTCCTAGGATGGAGTCGAGGTTGAGATCGTCGTCTTCCGAGGAGGTGGTGGACATTGGGTTGTGGTTGTGGTGGTGGTGGTGAAATTTAAGGGTTGTTATTGTACTTGTACTCGAGTATGGTATTATGATATGATACATCAGTTCGGGGGTTTGTACAGTACTATTGATTGTGGGTTTTAGAGTTGGAAGACGCGTTGGTAGTGGGGTTTGGGCGCCGAGGGAATGAGTGCCAAGACGTTGAACCTGGATGGAGCTATGATAGGGGATGCTTTGACAGCTACTGTACTCGAGTATGATGCAGGAGGTAATAGATACGGTAGTGTTGTTGGGTTACAATAGGACAAGATATAAAGAGAGTATCATACATTAATTAATACGGTACCGAGGGCAGTTATCAGTATCCTGGCTAGTACTCGTTATCCAAGTATCGCAGCGATATTAGCTGTTCCAAAAACCTCACTCACGATTCACCGACCTCACTCGCACCATAACAATCAAAATAAACAAAAACCGAAACAAACACTTTTTTTCTTCTATGCCCCCCCCCGTCATTCATACATTATTGCGATCTATTTCACATACCCTCTTTTATCTTAAGCCAAAGTAGCAAATGCTCTTTTCCTCTTCCCCCTCTCCTCCATCTCCCTAAAAGCCTCCTCGTCCACAAAATCACTTTTCCCCGCCGCCTCAACTCCATTCTTGACGAACCTGACCGCAGCAAGATTAAATCCCATTTGGTCCTTCTGACTCTTGAGTGCGGTTCTCAAGTTCTTGCGAACGCTACTGAGGAGCACACGCATGGTCTTTGTCGCGACGATCTGCTTGTGGTGCGTTTTTAGGAGGAAGAAAAGGATGCGGCAGGTCAGTGGGATGTTCCATTGCTGTTTCGCATATGTTAGCTTTTGAGGTTGGGGAGGGCCACGGGGTTGGGGTGGAGGGGTACCTTTGAGGCGAAGATGTCTAAAAATATCAAGAAGAGGGCGACTCTGTCGAATGGGAGGACTAATAGCGCATCTTGTAAATGGCTTGCTTTTATTTTCTGGATTGTATTTAGAAGATGCATTTCTGCGCTTATTCCACCCAGGGCAATGTACAATGGATTTCGAGGCGGTGGGGCGAGGTTTGGTTTCTCGATTTTGGCAGCTGCGTATTCTTTCATCATGGTCATGTCGGCCATTCCGAGGTCTAGGGCTTCTATAATCTTTTCTCCGGCCATGAGAGTTTCGATGGTTTGTTTTCCAGCGGAGGTAGCCTCGGGGCCATTCTCGTCCTGGGTCTCGTCTTGGTTGAGGGAGGTTGTTAGGGTTGATTCGTAAAGCTCTTCGAGCTCTTTTTCGCGTTCTTCTTCCAGGAAGATCTAATTATTGTTATTATGCCGTGAGGAGCGCTATAGTAGGAATGGGGGCCGTACCTCATCGTCTGTCTGTTCCCATACTCGAATACTCTTGTCGTGACTTGCGCTTACGACAATCTCGCTAACCTTTCCTACTGCCAGTGCCCAGATTTCACCAAAGTGGCTGTCCATCTTGATGATGTTTTCAAATTTGTCGCCATCCCAGTACTTTATTAGGCGGTCTTTTCCAGCTGAGAGAAAGTTGTGGGAGTTTCTTTCGAAGGCCACTTGCATTACACTATCCTGGTGGGCAAAGAAACTCTTGTGACAGTCGCCGAAGTCTAGGCCCCATATCTTGACGTTTTTGTCTGCTGAGCAGGTGGCGATAAGTTTGGAGTCTGAAGATATGTCCATGCTTAATACCGGGAGCTTGTGCCCGTAGAGATTGAGAAGGCGTTTGAGGGTATCGACATAGAATACCCTGACGGTATTGTCGAGGAGGGCTACCGCAAGGAGTTTCCCGTTAGGGCTGTAGCGGACGCTCAGGATATCGTCTGACAGCTTAAGAGCTCGACTTTGAACCAGCTTCAGTCGGGGTGTTGTTCGCTTCGTGGTGAGTATGTGTCAGCGACAGTTCATGAATAGTGTGGTGACTGTTTAAACATACCTTGGTTCCGGGGATACTTTCTTGCGCAATCTGAAAGCTCCAGAATTTGGCGTTCTTATCTGCACTTCCGGTAACAAGGCTTTTGCCATCTGGGTGGACTTGAAGTGACCAAATTGAAGCTTCATGTGCCTTGATACTCTCAATCATTGCTGACGAAGCTACATCGAAGAGCTCTATCTCTCCAGTTTTTGTACCCACAACGACCTTTCATCATTATTAGCAACGTCTTCGATCCCTAGCCTATATAGATGTAACTCACGATTTTGTCGCCGGGGAGGAACGAGCAGGACAGAGCATACCCACACTCAAAAGTTCTTATACAAGTTGAAGTCCTCACATTCCAGATCTTCAGAGAGCCGCTTGACGCAGAAGCAAGCATCCGATCATCAGAGCTCAGAGACAGTGCGCGGATGTCTGTCCTATGTCCCGAAAGCTCTACAGCGTATAATTTGTTATACTCCGGCACTTCCTGCTCCTTCCTTCCTTCCTTTCTTGCTGGTTTTCGTATATCGTAGTACTCTAGTGTATTGTTTGTGCAGGCCACTAGGATCTGTACAGTATCCTTACCACCCCGGGTAGTCCAATCCACTGATCTGACTTTCCCACCTGTCCGCACGGTGACATACGAAACGAAGATATCTGCAACTTCGGCATACGGAACATTATCACACTCTTCCTCCGTCTTCTCGGCTTTATCCCTCTTGTTCGCCTTCCCTTCCTTCCGCTTCCGTTTCCTCTTCAACGCCTTTTTAACCTCATCCTCCGTTCGTATCCGCCATATCTCAACACTTTTATCCGCGCCATGACTTGCCACAAAGTTCGAATTTGGGTGGAAAGTAATAGAAATGGCCTTATCCTTGTTCTGCCGGTATATGGTCCCCCGGTCAATCAGGCAATCCGACTTTCCCTTAACTCTCGACGTCAATCCCGCAGTATCGACAGCCCAAACCTTCATCTCCCCGCCATTCCCAGCGGTGATACACCCCCTCTCATCCGGCGATAGCGCCATAGCCCAGCACTCCCCGTGGTGTGCAACATGTGTCTCTACACAATGCTGCGTCGTGAGGTCCCACAACTTGATCAGCGTATCCTTCCCAGTACTAACCAGCCAACCCTCCGCACTCCCCCCTTCCACTACCTCAGGCCCTTTCAAAAACCCAACTTTCGTGACCTGATCTTTGTGTCCTTTGAGCCTATACAGCCCCACCTCGGAAATCAGATCCCAGACAATCACATGCGCATCCTTCGACCCGCTCGCAAGCCTAGTCCCCGAGTGATCAAATGCCAACGTAGAAACCGCCGACCGATGCCCATTGAACGAGATAACCACTGCAGAAGTCTTCGAATCCCACAGCCGGATCGACCCGTCGGCATAGCCGACAGCGAAAACATCCTTATCAGCCTGGGACTGAGCAATGGCCGAGACCTCCGCTTTGCATTTTCCGTCCCGCCAGCGCGAGAGGAGTTCGCCTTTTTTGATATCCCATGTTAGCACTTCCTCGTTCGCAGGGGCGACTGCTCGGCCGGCGCTGGTGGTCTTTGTTTGTGCGGGAGTTGTTGCTCCGGCAGTCCAGACAGTGTTTGCTGTGCCTGAAGCTATGACGCCAAAAGTTGAGGAGTGCTCGAATCGTCTGTTCCAGCGCTCAATTAGTAGTGAGTTCGCTAGAAACGATTAAGGGGAAATGGGACAAGAATGTACAAATATGATTTAACCATATCTCGAGCAATATTACGGTCGGGGTGATATCCTGCGGAAGAAGGAAAGAAAATGTCTAGCTGTCTCGACTCCCCGTTCGCTGAAAAAGAAAATTTTAAAGTTTGGCTATCGCCAAGACACATGCCGCCAAGATTCCATCCAACTTCTGTCTCATCTTAGCCCAGAAGTCCCCCCACGAAAGATAACTTTACCCACTCCTTCCTTCACAACTTCCTTCACAAACAGCAAGCAAGCAAACATGGGAAAACCATCACTAGAGAGACCACACAAGAAAGCCTTCAGCGTCGGTCCCGCGAACCTACCCGATGGGACATACAAGCGAAAAGGAAGGTATCAACTCTCCGTCCCTTCAATTACTGGGGAAGCAAAACTAACACAAAACAGTCGACAAAATTAAAAGATCCCTCATCCACAAAGCAAAAGTCAAGAAATCACTCGCGAAAACAATATCTGGAAACGCGCCAGACACAGATCCTCAGGCCATCCGTGCGAAAAGGTTGCTAGAAGAGGCCGCAGCCGAGCGGGAGCGAGCCAAATCCACAGAACCCAAAGATTGCGAGGATGGGGACGCTATTGTAGCGACTACAGAAATGCATCCGGAGCGACGGGTAGCGTTGGATCAACCAGAGACGGCACGTGTGGAGGAGAACCCTAAAAATGTCGATAAGGGTGCTTGGAGAAAACGGGGAAAAAAGAAGAAGACTTCTAGATTTCTGAAGGAGGAGCAGGAGGCAGCCAGACTTCGGGAGGAACGGGAGGAGAAAGAGAGAGAGATCGAGGCTAGAAAGGTTGCGATGGAGAAGTCAAGGAAGGAAAGAGCGCTCAGGAAGAGGGTTATGAGTGCTCGCACGACGAAGGGGCAACAGAAGCTTGGGAGGCAGAGTGCGCTGTTGCTGGAGAAGGTTAAGGCTCAGGTTGGGGTGTGATCGCGGCTGCCGTAGTGGGATTGAAGTTTGTTGTTTGCATAGGGTCGGAGTTTTGTTTTGCTTGGTTGATGATGTGGTTTTGTATTCTATCATAAGTTCATGATATCTACTCGAGTAGACTGTCCAAGTATATAATGATCGAATTAACAGGGTAACTAACCTACTAAAAGTTGTAAATTTCTTCCCCTCATGCTATCACCTGCGCCACTGAAAGTGCCCGTCACATTACACCACCAGAGTACTAAGTAATACCGGTGTGGAGGGGAGATTGAGTTAATAGTATATTGTCTGTGAGTGTTAGGCGGAGACAATCTGTAGAGACTCAGAATTGTCCAGGCCAATCAAGATTTGTTTCGTAGATGGAGATTTGTTTAAGAAGGCTCAAAGGGTTACTCATTTTATTGATGACTACTAAGAGTAAAGTAAAGTAGAATAAAATCATAAAAACAAGATTATACTGTTAAGGTCTCTTCTCTGTTGCTTGATGATGTCTAAAAGCTTGGAAGGCACTTCGATATTTATATTCCACATCTGAGAGTTCACGGCCTATGGTACTGGACACTTGAAATTGACAACAACCAGGCAAGAAAAAGTGAAAACCCTGATGACCCCGACCCTCGATCACAACCTTCATGGAGTAAAAATTAAAACATAGATTAATAGATTAAGAAGCTCTGAATAAGTCTATATTGAGTTATTCTCATTTAAGCTGTTGGTTAGTGAGAAAAATAGGGTTCAAGATGTGTCATTTTGTTAGGCAATAAAGATGAATTACCCATAAATTAGCCACATTATGCATCTACCCTGTACTGAGTAACAATCTATGATCCTGGAGATGAGAAGCAGACACTGGAAATGCATGAAGTAAGAGGGAGTCAATTCTTATCAACAAGTAAGTGTTAACCCTCATGAACAATCTTGAGTTTGAAGCTATCAATGGTTATTTGATAATGCCAGTTGCCTTGAAAAGACGGCAGTATTTATCGGCAATATCACATCAGCGGTAGATAGAATACTCTAAGTATAGCTATCATGCTACTAGTATGAGTGAGGGAGATAGTTGAGATGGTGAGGAGAGTAACACTGACTGCAATATATCTGACAATACATCAGATGTTTTAGAAGTAATGGAGGATGAGAGTGAGAGTGATAGTTATACTAGTGGTCAGAGAAAGAGAGTGTAAATAGATATCCAAGTTAAATTACAATTGAATTATTTTGAAATGCAAAATCACTTACCATAATAAATATAGTAAAACTTTAGACATTTTGAAGTGGGAGGAGTGCACTGGAAGTAGTATGTGTTAGTCACATGTCCTTGGATCCAGAAAGGCCTCCTACAATAATTGGAAAAATAAGTGTGAACTAACAATTACAGCTAGCACTTTCTACGATATTAAGGCTGTATTTCAATGTCAGATAGGTCTTGGAATCAGTGTCACTGCACAAGGATATGTGCTTGAGGGAGAGGACTCGGAAGAGTTTGCAGTTTGCCTATTAAGGCAAATTGCTATAGAAGAATTGCCTACCTGAGGTCCAGGAGAAGTAGTAATTACTAAAGAAATAAAAAAGAAGAAATTAGATGAAGTGATAAGAAATTTGTGATTTCTTTTAACTAAAAGGAATAAACAAGTAAAGCAATATAGTAGAGAGCTGTTAGGAATACCAGGATCTGATACCTAGGAATGACACTAAGTAGGGTAACTCCACTTGGATTTGGAATCTCTGATCTCCAACATCCCCCTCTGGCTCTCTTATGGGGCCTGCATATCTATAGCTCGATGGAAATAGCTTGTAATATTTTTCTAAAGCTCCTATATTTAACTCCTATTATCACCAAAGCTATTTCTAGTATTGTGTCACAAATGTGGCTTGGCAAGGAAAAGGTTTTCACATGACACATAATTATGAGTCATAGGTATGTTATAGTTTTACGCATATGACACATTTGGGTCATATGATGTTATGGGTTGATAGGTTTCGCACATGACTTGAATATGAGTCATAGGAAGTGTACCTGGCAAATATGCCTTGCAAGTGTACCTTGCGAGTATGCCTTGCGCATATGATTTATATTTAGCACATGTGACGCATTCGAGTCATATGACTTGTTCATTGTATTATGATTGGTTTATGAGTTTTCACACATGATCTTGCTACGAGGTCATGGGTTTTAAGCATGTGACCACTTTGGTCATATGACTAGTTTGGTATGATTTGATTTCACACATGTGACCACTTTAAGTCACATGACAACAGGTGGGAAGAACACTATATAAGGAGGCCCATATGGCCGAGGAGAATAGGTTCTTCAGGCTTTGTTCTAAGTACTTTTCCTCCTTCTTTAACCCCGTGTCAGACGTGAAGGTTCGGTTTCGATCCAATCAGAGCCCTTGATTTTTATCTCACGATAGGCTTTAAGTCTTTAACTTCGAATACCTTTTGGGGACTTTGTTGTTATACCTCCTACATTTGCTGGAAGTCCTTTCTTCCTTTTACTTATCTTTTCAGTTGTTCATTTCAGTCGCCTCCACATGGTCGCAATGGCTAAGCAAGCCTCCACCTCCTCCACCACGTCTGCTCTGCATTCATCGGTGGTTTTGTCTAATGCTGTCGAAAAGAACTTCGCCCTAGAGGCTGAAGTCTCTCACCTTTAGTATCACATGTCTGTTCTTTCTTGGCGATTTCATCACGATGGGAAAAAGATATCTGCCTTGTCGGCTGTCCTCGAGAATGAACATGCTATCAATCGCGGCTATTTCACGATGTTGGCGACTGAAGCTCCTACGGTTATCCCCTCTTTGCCTGTCCCCTTGGTCGCTTCAGTTACTGTGGTGGTCTCAGTTGGGGGTGGTAGGCTAGACCCTGAAAATTCTCAGGATCCAGCAGAGGAGCTCCCATCGGGGAATGTTATGCTGCCAGTTATCCTGGCCCCTCCTGCAGGTGCGGTTGTGGGAGGTGGTGTGGCTGGACTGGTTCTTGATTCATTTGGGCCGGTTGAGGTGCTTGCACCTAGGGTGGGTGGGGTGGATCCTGGTGTGGTGACATCAGCTGCAGTGGTATCACCCCTTTCAGGAGGAAAGGTGCCTGAGCCCTCAGTGGCTGAGCCTGTGGCTGGTCGGGGTAATGCCTCTGGTGGCGTCCCTCCTGTGGTGGTGGGTGGTGATGAGGGTGGCCCATCCACTCCTGTTACTAGACCTGCACCTGGGTGTGGGAAGAGAAAGAAAAACCAGAAGCGCCGGGTCAAACAAAACCAGACCTCACCTGTGTCGCTTGTCCCTGACTTGGAAGGGTCATTGCCTTCACCGGTTTGCTACTGCAAACTGGCTACTACAGAGTCCACAACAGGTTTGCCACCTGCAGAGCGGGCTGAGTAGTTAGAAGAGGAGCTGAATACTAGGGCATGTTCAGTCAAGTACTGATGGCTTGGAGACTATATCGTCCTGGCTGCTTCTGTCGAGGTTCTTGGACTGTGCTGCTGGTGTGGTGTCCTCCTGATTCTCTATGACTATTCGTATCCCCTTGGCTAGGGAGCCCTCACCCTGTAAGTCGGCTTTCTCTCGGGTTTACACACTTGGGTATGGGATGTTTCTTTTGTTTGGGAATGGGAATGGGTGCCGGAGTAGTCGGCGCGGTGTCCCGGGATCATTGAGTGGGGATGCTCGGATGGGTTTCTACTGTGGAGGAGGTTTTTGCGGGATCACATTCAGGTGGTGGTAGTGGAACTTTTGTATTTTATACGGGTAACTTGGCTGGTGGGTAGGCTGTGCTGAGGAGGATTTTTCTTTACTATTGATGGCTTTGTATTTAGTGTTTGTGTTGGAGCATGGCGTGGGCATGTTTGAGGTATGGGGTTGGAGGTTTAGCTAGTCTGTAGTTAGTGGTATCTGGGATGCGACAACCTGGGAGTCCAGCCCTGGGACTTGTCATATGCCAGTGTTGGTAGTACAAGGTTAAATAAAATTAGATTGAATTCTAAGTACTTTTCCTCGTCCTTTCCGTCGCTTTGCCCTGAGTATTTCTTTCGCACCCACAATGGGCCTTGATGCCTTGGATTCTGGAGGAGATATCTGAGTTCGCTCAGTAGTTCCTAGGGTTCTTGGTGTTGAGGCCTATTGGTGTTGCATGGTGGATTACTTGTTTGCTTCTCGTTTTGTTGGTTGCTAGTTATCTCACGATGCTGGCACTTTGAGCTACTCATCATGGTCGCTTACAAGCCCTTTTCGGTAAAATGTCTTCAGCTTCCTATCTGTCGTCGACTCGCAGGTTTCACGTTCGATTAGGGGGGATTGGATATTGTATTTGAGGGGATCACCTGTGTCATTCTCTGGGCTAGCTCATGGTTCTTGTTGGGTTTTAACAGAGTCCTTAGTTTTCACGATACAAAATACCTGTGGGTTAGACTGATGACCTTTCTAAGTATCAACTCATGGTACTGGCTGCATCATTCCTCAGGTGGCAGGGGGGTACCCGCCTGGCCCCTTCTCGTTAAGTTTTCGTTTCTACAGTTGGAATCCTACGATGTTGTTTATCACGGTTCCCTAGGAGTTTTTATCTTTGTGGCATTTACTGTAGTTCAGACAGGTGTTTCCTCCTCACCTCGGTGGAGATGGCTTTGACCCTAAAAGATCTTACCCCCTGACGTGGTTTTTCATTACTGCTTAGGGTGGTGTGGGATGATTGGCTACCAGACACTTGCGTTTTCTGGGTGTTTAGGTGGTTCAGTTGTAGACTGTGGTTGGTGGCTTCACCCATTGCAAGTGGAGCCTACCTTCTGTTGGTCTACTCCTGTTCACTTGTCCTCCCCCTTCATGTCGCTTTAGTTGGGGGTGCCTCTTGCCCGTTGTTCTGTCTCTGCTTGTTGCCGGACCTGTGGGGCTGGCTTCGGCTGACTCTGTCTATTCTTTCCTGGCTTGGTTGGACTTTGGTTCGACTAGGTTAGATGGTGTAGCTCGTGCTGGTACCTTCGGACATTGGTGCTGCCTTCTTTGTGGCTCTCGGTTGTGGCTGGTGGGTCTCTCTCAGCTGCAAGATACTGGAGGTTGGGGCTCTATTAGTGTGGCCAAGACCAGTGGCTGCCTGATGGAGCTAGGTATGGACTGACCTGTGATTATCGGATGGTTGATC